AACATTATTCTTGATTGGTTGACTCTTAATTATGTTATTTATAAGGTTTCCTGAAGATTATCACAATACAGCCTGAGAGGAAAGATCACTGGGATTGCTACACAGCTATTCGACATTCTCCAGCACGGCTCAGAGCAGCTGCTCTATTTCTGACAACAGTTCTGCACTCAGAGTAGCTGTTTTCTCTGAGCATCAACAAACAGCAAGCAGAAATAATTATTCTGAGCATTTCACTTTGCCACATGTCAATCTCAATTGGAAAGACAGTCCTGTTTTACAGAGAACTGTTAACATCCAAGGAGACGGTGCATATGGTCTTCTTGGGGCAGCCAATGGCATTTTACAACAGCACAGAGGTGCACTTTCTCATCACGTCATCTGTGTTCTCCATAACACGAGAAGCTCATTAAGCAAGGTCCTCTGGAGTTGCTTCTATCACTTTCTATTCTATTGCTGCCAACTAGCACTACCCTTCTTGCCTTGGGGAAGGTCATCACTAGATCCATATTTGGTTTCCTGCTGTTCCTACCAACTATAGTTCTTCCCCACAAACTATGCTGTGAGATTAACCCAGAGCAGGAGTCATGTTGTTTGTGACACACAGAAATGAGTCAGCAGGTTTCCGTACCAAAAAGCCCACTTCCATAAGAAGGATTAGGTATTATTTTCATGGCTGCCTCAACACTATCAGTTCTTTTCCCCACTCACTTGGGCCACATTTGAGACTTATTTGTTCCTCATCTCTGAAGAGATTAAAAACTTGTTAGAGAAATAACTGTGTTCTCTCCTCCTACAGAATGTTGCAGTTGCATTATAATTTCAGCTTCAAAATCCAGGCATTAACATTTCCAAACTGTATCTGTATTATGACTACTGTAATGAATTGAGAAACTGCAAATTGAAAAGCCTTGGACTACTCTGTTCACTGGACTGCTTTACTTACTCGTATTCTATTACCATTCTTCATCTAATAGAATTTCCTGCCAGCAATGCCAAACTTACTGGTTGTTGGAAGCTTGTAGAGAAGAACTTTGCATTAAGTAAATGGCCATGAACCATTCTGGCTGTACAGTAACTGTTGTGCTCCAATGAGTTTTTTGCTGAATACAGACATGAACAGTTATGGGATTGATATTGATATACATGCTTCTGAATAGTTCTATTCTCTAGAGATACTGCTAAGCATACCAACATAGAGGAGGTACACATACCTTACACATTCAAGGCTGAGGTCTTTCAAGTGGCATAAAAATTACAAAAACATCAATTGGAAGGGATTCTAGAAGATCTCTGGTACAGCCTCCTACTAGAGACGAGCAGCCACTCTGCCCTTCGCCCACAGTAGGAAGAAGCACACATGCAGTGTAGAGCTGAGCAATTCTTAATGTTTAAAGCTAATTGGTGTAATTTATCTGCATCTGAATGATAATGACAGATATTCACATCTTCAAGTGGCTGTTACAAGACACACAGCAACAGATTTGCAGAAAGGTGCAACAGAAGTAAGAAAACATAGAAAATGTGTTCAAACTGAGGCAGCATGGCTAAGAAGGCTTTTACCACTGCAGAGAGCATTGCCTGATAGCATATATTGTGTGCAGTAAAGACAGTTCCCAGGCTGCATTTAGACGTTATCTAGGTTCATACCAGTTGTGACCTGCAGTTTCTGATTTTGCCATTGTAATATGATGGCAAGTGTAGCAGTGACAGCATAGCAGCAAAGTCGTAGGCTATAGTAGGTGACTGCAGCCACAGACACAAAAGTAAAGGAAAGAAGCTGCTTACCCTTGAAAGGCCTCAAGTAGGCAGGGATCTCCAGTAAGACACCCTCACCTCCACTGCCAACCCTTAAGCGAGGTCTGGAAGGGGCAGATCCTGGCTCCAGCCCTTCCTGTCACTCAGCAGTATTACATGCACCTGAGCTCCCCTGGGCTGGTCCTGCCTTCCCACCAGGTGCTCCATCACTGCTTCAGGCCATGACTTAGCATTTCTGCTACAGCCATCATTCCCATATTCTCCTACTAATTATAACACAACCACAGTTTCTTGTTACTGTCACCAAAAGTCTGTACATACTTAAGATCCACCGTCCATAATTAAATCCTGAATTACAGCCTAACCTTTCAGCCTTCTGGCCTTTCAGTATTCACCTTCAGCTGCATTATCTCCCACAGCAATCTTGGACTGTGTGGATTGTCATCATTCTCTACCGCTCTAGACAGTTCTTAGTACATTTTTAACTGTGGCTATTACCCACCACGCTTGTTCCTTTTGGGCTCAATATTCTTAAGCCCATGTATAGATCCCTCAGAGGAATCACTTTGCTGCATTTGAAATTGCACATTTACTGAATTATCAACAGGAACATATGTAACAATTACACAAATCAACACAATGGGAAAGGCACTACAACAAAGGTTGTTTGGAAGGACTGGCACAATAGAAAGGTGCCATAAAGGAAGGGAAGAAGATTGCTCACCCATATCAGAAGATTTCAGGTTCACAGGAAAAAGCTTCACCAAGGAAAGATCTCCAACCTGAGATCCTTCCCCGGTGGCATCAACCCTTAAATGAGCCAGGCTGCACTCCTTCCTGTCCCATAACTGAATTGCCTTCAGCTGTGCTCCCAGGGCTGACCCATCCTTTCCCCAGGTGCTCAGTCAGCTGTGACTCAGCAGTTCCCATGCAACATACAAGTTTCTAGTTTGATGCAGCTCCAAACACTATTTTCCTGGCTTTTCTTGCCTTACACACCAGCAAGGAACTGTTGGAAATCGTACACCAGCTACACACATTTGCCACAAATCCAGTAGCCACCTATGGTAACTAATGCATGCCAGAATGTCTCACCTCTCTACCACTGTCAGCTTCACCACACGAGGAGTGGGAACAGCTGAAGGCTGAACACCTGTTTCCCATCCCACATGACAACTACAGCAAGAGAAGTTGTGCAGAGCCAGTGCAAATTAGTTGTCTAAATTCTGCAGATGTGCACTGATGGAGAGGGGCTTGAAAAATGCACAAAATCATATCTAGTAACACATTAAGCTGTTGGCCTCCAATTCAGCATCAGAAGTATCTATAGACAATTTCAGCTTCGTCAGTGAAATCAGGCATGCAGAGCTGAGATTGTGCTGCGACTCACTCCAAACTGTTTAATATGATCCTGGTTCTTAGTGATACCACAGTATCCAAAAGCAGCACAGTAAGAGATTTAATTTTTGTTACCCACTGCTAGCAGGGAGTTCAGTAGCTTTAAGACTTACTGTCTTTTCCCAGGGAAAAGGCATTTGGCCACCAACTACTAAACTCCTCCATTCTTCTCAACCAGAAGGCTTCCAAAGCTGCCGAACTCCCAGATCGATGTTTGTTACACGAACCTCCTGCACATCTACCAGGTAACAAGCAGGTCCCTCAGGAAGGTGCCCACAGAAGCACACCAACACCTTCCTGAAGAACAAAAGTACCTTTGTTCACCAGGCCCCCACATCAGACAAACAAAGTATGTCAGCAGGATCTGTTGTGGGTCCAGACGCTTATCTGCTTGGGGATGGCTGTGCAAACAGGAGTAAGCTAGGACAGAAATAAACAGCCTTTAGATAAATTGTTGCATGTCCTGTTTCAGCTCACTGAAAATATTGGCAGTTCTGCCTACACTGTAACTAACCCATCTCAGCTACAACAGCCCTATTCACACAAAGTGTGTCCGGAATTCATGCCAAAAGTTACTCCCACAGTGTGCAGAAGCAGAGCTGCTTTGCTCTGATTAGTTTATTCAGTTTGATAGAAAAGCGTGTTTGGCACGCCACTTTTGAAGGGTAACAGTAACTGCGCTTCAATACATTTAATATTTTGTTATAGAGGAAAACAGTCACAGAAACATACTGTTTGAACTGTATCATACTACAAGGCTTCACTCCTCAGCGGAAATGGTCATCTCAGAACTCATTCTATATTTGAAGCCAGGCTTGCAGAGCTGTTTTTACATACGAATGCTTCTTTCAGACAACTTAAATTCTTCCGTCAGGATTCAGCACTTGTATAATCAATGGATATTAAGATGTTACAATCACAAAATAAACAAGAGTTAAGCGAAGTGGACTATGATAACAAGAGAGAATAAACGGAAGGCTTACCCTTATGCTGGGCTCACCACAAAACACCAGAAGGAGGGATCTCCAGACAATCACAGAATCACCTGGGTTGGAAGGGACCTCAAGGATCATGTAGTTCCAGCCCCCCTGCCTAGCAGGGCCACCAAACATACACAAGATCCTTTCCCTCTGGTAGCCAGCTCTTAAATAGGTCCAGGAGGGGGGGAGCCTGGCTCCACCCCTTCCGGCAGCAGAGGTGAATTGAATTGCCTTCACCTGTGCTCCTCTGGCGGACTCATGGCTCGCCTCAGGTGATCAATCAGAGGTTCAGGCCGCGACTCTGCAGTTCCCATACAGCACGAATACCCTGAATGACTTCTGGTTATCAAACCTGCCTCATTACTCGTGTTCACCCTCTAAGGTTTACGTAGCTATGCAGCACGGACCTTGCTGAACTCAACCAGCAATCTGCCTCCACTGTGGGAGATGACTATTTACATCACAACTTCTATCTGCCCGTTCCTCTCGTTAACTTCTGCATACTGAGACCTTACTTTTTAGTCTATGGCCCATAGGATTCCTTAAACAGACTCCAGGAACTTTGACTTTCAAAACACTTTGACAGGTAGACTAAACCACTTACCTACATTTGCTGACCCCTCCAGAAAGCATGCTCTCTACAACTACCTGAAAGGAGCTGTGGCAAGGTGAGACATTAGGAAGAATTTATTCTCAGAAAGAGTCAGACATTGGAGCAGGTTGCCCAGAGAAGTTGTGGAGTCACTGTCCCTGCAGCTGTTTAAGGAAAGGAAAGATATAGCACTTGGAGATATGGCTTAGAGGAGAGTACTGGTGGCAGATGGATGATTGTACTAGATGATTATAGAGGTCTTTTCCAGCCTTAATGATTCTGAAATTCAATACACTTGAAAAGCAGGATTTCTCTTTGTAGGAACAGTGGTGACTATTCTCAGGTGGGCACTAATTCTGTTCTTTATTGTACTGATTTGATCAGCAGAATTTACAGCTGGTTGACAGGCTTGTGATCCCCTGGATCCCTCCTGAGACCTTCTTTATAGTCTGGCATTGCATTTATCACCCCTTGCTCTGCAGGAAAAAGAAAAGTTTCAAGTGAGAGGATACACGCTGCTAATATTAATCTAGATACTTCAACCCTGAGATAAGAATTTTGAGTGAACGTTCTTCTCCAATATGGCACCATGACCATATTTGTACCATAACCTCTGTCATGGTTGCTTCCAATTCAGACAGATCTTCAGCTCTTTACAGTTTAATTGATAAGTTTAATTATTATTAAAATGCTCTGTATTATAGAAAATCAATGTTTGTACTGCTTTGCAAGGAGGGAGACTTCCATTCTCCATATTAAGAAGAGTAACAGGTAAGCTAAGAGACCGCTCAGTTTAGGTTCCTTCTTTCAGTTACCCACTAAGAGAACAGTTTTCCCATCTGGAAGATGTATTCATAAGGTCTGTAGGCTCATGCTTCTATTCTCAGTACTAATTTTTAGTTAAATTCTTTGCATCTAACAGATCCTTAAGATTGTTTTTCTTCTTTAGTGTTTGTATACAGAATCCTGGACAATAACTCATTATATGAATTTGTCATTCTAAATCAGAGCCAGCTTTATTCTACCTCTTTTAAAATATGAAATAAAAGATAAAAGTTAATGCTGATAAAGTAAAAAAAACTGACCTCTGACTTCTGAAGAAAACTGGGCCAGATGCCGGGTTACAAAGAGTCGCAGCTGCTGATTCAGATCGCAGGACAGAGGGTCAATATTCCAGGAGCGAATTCCTGCCCAACAGAGAAAGAACAGTGAGCTGTCGTTACAGTGGCTACCGAAAGAGGGGACAAAAGTAAACATGACATCCGGGAAGCAGCAATGGCCTTCTGAGGGAAGATGGTTAACGCTGAGAAAAAGTCTTCAAAAGCAAAGGGCCATAAGTTGTTTCCCTTCCATAAAACACCTACACCTGCAGTACATGCATCAAGCAACTCTTTTTACAGCCTAGGTTTCGCATGAGTGAAACAGAAGAACTGTGAAGGATAACGGCTAAATTGCTCTAGTTAGAAGTTTATTAACTTGCTTAAGCGAGTTAAACTACTAAACAGCTCAGACACATCAGCTTCTGTGCTCTTAGAACTCGAGCATCCTTCAAGTCACAAACCCCCCCCGACCTCAGCTCCCTCTGCCTAATCACGCCCTCAAAGCCCCTGATCCTACTGAGACCCTTTGGGTTCGTTTTTTAATCTACATAATCTTTGTAAGCTAATCGCTTTCATATCACAGCAGGAAACAGCGTCTGCTCCCAGAGCAAGTGGCACCACGCCATGCTGGGAAGTCACCTTCAGACCTCAGCATTAGCAGCTCTGTGTTCTGAACGACACCGAACACCACAGATCAGAACTTCACAGGCTAATAAGGAGCACTTTGGTGGCGCAATACTGCCTTGTGGTGCCATGAACAATAATGGAATTACACTGTGAATCACTGTGCTGGCCTCTTACACTGCTGGCTGCAGAAGGCCGCTAACACAGACTTCTAAGAGTTAAACAGAACAAGGATCTCAGCCCTAGTGTTTATTTTTAAGGTCGGTGTTGAGAGTTATTCCACCATTTTCTGAAGACGTTCCCTCTCTTACGTAAAAAGATGACCAAATATCTGCCTTTTTAAAATTTTTTTTTATTTTTTTATTTTTTAGGAGTGAAGCATGTTTTCACATATACTGTTTCCAGTTACTGCAGTTCTGTTTCTCCAGCACAGCGATTTGATGTTGCACAAGAGCTTCTGAAGGCTGTTGGTGGAAAGCATTATCTTCTAGGTTACAAGCTAGAGTGTATCAGCTTGTTCACCACAGATGCAGGATGGAATCACCAGGTCATCGCATTGCACTTCAGTAGTCTCAGGAATTCACAGCAACTCAAGAAAATGTTTGTCTTAGGATTTTTCCCTGATGACAGCTGAAACCATAGAGTAATAGCTTCACAGCAGGGTACACAAAACAAACAAGTAGTAAGTCCTCTGAACATCCAGAAACTTACCACCACTTACGCTGTCACAGAACGCCTATTTCTTTTTGACTGCATAGGATAGGAACAAGTGAAACACACAACAAAATGACAACACAACAGGAAGGAAAGGGATTAAAGGACTGTTTTCCTATGAAACAGCCTTAGAAAGCACGATGGATTTAATCAGTGGTCAACGCCTCTTAATGCAGTGCTTGTGAGCACTCCCACCCGAGCTGAGCATGGCAGCACGCTGCGGGACGCATCCTGCTGACTCGAGCTGCTGTGTCAGAGTTCTCGAGTCCTACTGCAGCAATTGATGCTATTTGAGGCACTGCTACTTCCTCCAGAATACAGACAGATATACTCCTTCAGAGCAAGGAAAAAGGTAATTCTTTTTTCACTCATTATTGCCACAATTTATACAGTGTCTTTTTTTCCCCTCCAGGTAGTCTAAAATCACTTCTAACCTATCCCCACCTGTCACAGTTTCAATTTATGCCGTTGTACAACAGCCAGAACAATGTCCTTGCTGATTAATCCTACCTGCTAATGCAGGAGTGCAGACTATGCCATAACAAGGTTTCCAAATGTGCATATTTTTCACACATGCACAGCTGGGTAACGTACCATGGGTCTCATCAGTTTCCCATCTCTTTCCTTATACCTTTGTAATTTTTTTTCCCCATTAATTTCCTGCCAAGATAATTGGGTTTTAAGGTTTGGTATTTTCTTATACTCTTTCTAATATTGTTTCAGAACAGGACAAAAGTTACAAAGGAACAGAAGAATCAGACCAGTATTTGTGGACATCGTTTTAGAATAGGTATTCAAGTGTTTCACAGATACAGTGACACTGCATCAGAAGCAGTAAGGGCAGAAACAAGCAGGTTCCTGCAGCGTCTGATATGCATTATTCAATTTATCTGAATCAAGCTGTAAGAAGAAAGTGGGGAAAGTGCGCTTCCTGGTTCAGCCTGAGAGGGGAATACATTCATTTACACTTCATGAACCTCGTCCCGGTAGGCTTTGTGCAGGCAGGGCACAACAGCGAGAAGAACAGAGGTGACAAAAAAACTGTTTTATTTTTAAAACAGATCTATAAATAAAAATCCAGACGTACAGCATGCAATGTTTCGGACCAGTTTTGTTTGCCATCAAGTAGCTGCTGCGAGTGGATGCTTTCCCATGTGCAAACGGCCCTAAGGCCAAAAGCATCTGCAGCTGACAGGACTCGACAGGCGTCTGGGAGACTGCTGACTGCAGAACGGGGCACGTGCTGTGCCATTTAAAATCTGCGCCGCAAAATATGCATTTATTTTTCCTGGTACTTAAAACCAATGCATCTTAGAAATGGGTGAGAAAAGGGAGAAGCACGTACAAACTTTCTGGGGGTATTCATTTTTACAGGTGTAGGACACCGCTTAATAGAACAGGACACCGTGTCTCCCACCTTTGAGGCGCTGATGTCACGATAATCCGTCCTTTGGGAACCATTAGAAATCTCCACGAAGCCGCAGCCTCCGCCCCACCGGCGGGTCCCATCCCTTCAAATAACACCACCTCCTCCACATAGAGACCTGTCCCCGCCGGGGCCCCGGCACGGAAAGCACAACAGCAGAGACAGCGCTGTCCCCGTGCAGCAGAGCCGGGCTGCTCTTCGCCCTCCCGCGGGTCGCGGTCCCACGGGGCGCTCCGCAGTCCGCGCTGCCGCTGCCCCTCGCACTGCGGTAAGCCGCCCCGCAGGGCGAAGCCCGCAATTAGCCAAAGTTTGGGCAAGACGGGGACGAGACCCGACCCGCGGACCCACGAGAAAGGTGGGAATCCGGAGAAGATGTGCAGAACGGGAGGAAAAAAATAGCGAACGTTTGCGGTCCGAATGTCCGCAGCACTCCAGAGTGCCCCGCCCGCCCCGAGCCGCAGCGCTCGGCTCCGCGCGGTGCCGCCCCGCCTAACGGAGCTCTCCCGCTCGCCGCGCGCATCCCGTTCCCCCACGCGCGCCGCCGCCCCTCCGGGCGCAGGGCGAAGCCCCGCGGCAGCGCCGCAACGGACGGCGGACATCGGCACCGCTCCTCACCTCTCTCCAGGGCGCCGCGCAGCGCCCCGCGCTCCGGCTCCGTGCCGACCTCCCCGATCACCACCAGCAGCGCGTGCCTCCGCGCCTCCCCGCGGCGCGGTCCGCCCGGCAGCCAGGGCACCACCGTCTCCATAGCGACCGGTCCGGCCGTCGTCTCCATGGTAACGCGACGGCCGCCGCTGCAGCGCGCCGTGACTGGCGCGCGACTCTTAAAGCGCACCGAGCTCCTCCCCAGTTGGCTCCGCTGCCGCGCGGCGCCGCGCTACTGCGGCGAACGGGGGCGTGGCCTGAGGGGCGCGACTCTGAGGCCGCCCCAAGCGCACGGCGGGCGGAGCGGGGCGGCGCGCAATTTTCTCGTGGGCTCTTCTTCCGCGCCGAGTCCGGCCCGCTCGGCGGAGCCTCGTCGGTTCCCTGCAGGCCCGGATGCTCCCACACGGGCCGCGCGCGGCCGGCCGCCAAGCGGTCTCTGCGGCTCTGGACCGGGCCCGACCAAGCCCCGGCGCCGAGCTCACGACATTAGAAGTGTAATCCTGGAGACGGTTCAGTTTACGTCGTTGATCTGACTGGGAGAGAGTCACACAAATGTGGAACTCCCCAGGGAATTCTAAATGTCTGCTGCCGGGTAACCACAATACCCTCAGTAACACCACAGAAGCCAGCAGTACTAAGGGATGCTCGGGCTTGCCCCCAGCATTTACATTCTTCTTTCTTCTCTGACCCTCCGAGGTAAGCAGAACAGCGAGGTCTTAATCTCTTCTCAGTGACTCTTTCCCCTTTTCAGTTACAGGCAAACCTGTTGGCATGTGAGATCTACCTTCCAGAAGCACAAAATAGAAGAGGAAAGCCTCCAGCTTTTGCCTGCTCCTCATGTGGAACAGTGGTTGTGAGCAGCCTGCTGTGTCAATGGGGGCTTCATCACCCAGGATGAAAAGGAGGGTAAAGGTGTAGGTGCGTGGCTGTACCTCAGCAGCACATCAGCCAGCCACAGCTCTAGGCTGCTCAGTGCATTGTATGGGAAAACTGAGCAAGCAGACCATGAGACTTCATGCTGAGCACATGAGAGGCACCCAAAAGTAGCTTCAGGTAGAAAACTCTGCGTCTCTTCTGACAAGGGGATAGTGATCCACATTGTACTAGCATGGCAGAGTAGCAAAACAATCATTGTGAAACAAGATTCAGATCAATAATAACCTGCAGCGTTTCTTAAAGCAGCACCAGGTTGCACCCCCCGCAGCCTGTGAGATTTCCACAGAACTGAGCTGCAGCAGAGAAATCTGATAGTTAGATAGCAGGGTCCACTGCTGCTGTAGTCCCCAGTGACCCACTATTACAATCATGAAGATTAACACAGTGATAAAGAAGTGTCACAGCAAAGAGACTAGCACAGACACAACAGTGTTTCAAAGGAAAAATATTCACCCATCACTGAAGACCAAGGCTCCCAGGGAAGACTCTACAAGGGAGGGTTGTCCAACCAGACATCCTTCCCCAGTGGCATCAGCCCTTAAATGAGGCCTAAGAGAGGTGCAGCCAGGCTGCACCCCTTCCTGTCCCACAGCTGAATTGCCTTCACCTGTGCTCCCAGGGCTGACTGGTCCTTTCCCCAGGTGCTCAACCATGGGTCAGCTGTGACTCAGCTGTTCCCATACACCCACTGAACCTGCCCTGCAGACACAGCCAAACAGCCAAGGGTTCAGAGGGTGGAGCTCTGACATACCTATGTGAATCTGACAGTCTGTACTGTAATGAGCCTCTGTGAGAAGATAATCTGGAGGAAAGCCTGTCATTGTTCCTGTGGGCTAGTACAGATGTTACCAGCTTATGGAACTTTCTCAAACTGAGATGTTTACTCAAGAGGTTCTCTGGCTCTCAACAAATAAACCAAGGGATGATGCAAGAAGTCCTTTGCACACTGAAATGCAGTGACACAGCTGGACGTGATCTATAACAAATAATCTTACAAACAGAGTTAGTGCATCAAAATGGAACAATTTGTTTTCTGTGTGTTGTAATTTGCTCAACAGTGTTAATTTCGTTGTCTCAAAGGACTGCATGGAAGCAGGTAAATTTGTGAATAAAGGGAAAAACCTGCACATAAATACCCAGAGAACAATAAATTCCGTTTTGAAAGTAAGACTTGAAAGTAGGATCATGAAGGGCAAATATGAAGATGCAAGATTATCAGAGATTTTTTTTTACCAGCCTTCTGTTTTCAGGTGAGTCAATCCAATACTTGCTGCTTATTTTTGACATGGTAGCTTTCCAGAACTGCAGCTTTTCTCTGCAGTGCAGAGAGGCTCCTCCAGCTGGCTTTCTGCCAAAGGAAATGAAATGGAGGCATGCAAACCAGGAGTGAGAGCTTACAGAGAATATTGAAGCACGGTACTGGAGCAATGAGGATCTCTTGGGAATATTGTTTACAACCAAGAGCCATATTTTATAATGTGATCTGTTTGCATTCTTTAGCAAATTTTAACATCATGGCATTTCTGTTGTTTTCTGATGTGCTCAGGTCTCTCTATGATCACGACACAAATGATGTGGCTGTGCAGTCATAGTGCTGTTACGTTTCATCAGCCCTACCATCTGGTAGTGAAAGGAGGGATATCTCCTGTAAGAGGTTCTTCTTTATTTCTGAATTCCACATTTTAGGCACACCTATTAGATGTGCAGGGAGATTAGTGTGCAGGTTTTGCTCTCATGTGCTCCACAGTCACTGGCACTTCTATAAAGTGCCACAAGTTTCCTGAGCTGCGTGTAGACATCATGGATCCTGACAAGCATCAGGTGCTGGCAGAATGACAGGCAACAAAAACAGGGAGAAAAAAAAAAAAAAAAAAGTAGTGCCTTTGAACATTAGAAGGCAGTGGCTGCTGTAGAAATAGATCTGAAGACTAGACTCAAAATAGCATAAATAGAATCCTAGTAATATCAAGGAGAGAACAATCTATATAGTTTCAGTTTCTCAGACCTTCAGCCTAGAATGATGATTTTCTGTGCTCCCTAGCTAAGAACGTCTATGTGAATATGATTATTTCTGGGAACCAGAGATCTATGGTAGCATCTGAATAAGGCTAATGTCTTTAACCAAGGTAAAATATGAATTCATTTTGGGTGAGACCTTTCTAAGTAGCAGAGAAAAATAGGTGACTTCTTAAAAGGACTTTGTACAGGCCCTGATCTCCTGAAGGAATCACAGCTGTCCTTGGAACAGAAAAGCCTAGCTTTGATAATGCTTCCTTGTCAGGATGAAGCTGTGTTGCCATCTGTACTATCTCTTCCATGATATGCTGTAAAATACAGAAGGAGAATCAGAGAGATAAGCCCATCTGATTTTTGCTTCTCTTCAGCACTGTGGTTGATTTACCAGAACAGTACTCCTTTTCTTTCCACTTTTGCCTTCTGAAGGCTTTGCAAGATGCTGAATGTCTCCTGCGAAATATGGAACAACTGCATCTCTGATCAAAATTAGGATCTGACTGCCTATGAAATTGTCACTGTGTATTCATTGTGACATTTCTTGTGATCCCGAGCCTTAGAATTAAAATATATGCCTATGGTAACTGTTGACTTATGGCCTGACCCACAATTGAGCACCTGGGGAAAGGACTGGTCAGCTCCAGGAGCACAGGTGAAGGCAATTCGGTTATGGGACAGGAAGGGATGCAGCCTGACTGCACCTCTCTTAGAGCTCATTTAAGGGCTGACTGCCATGGGGGAAGGATGTCTGGTTGGAGATCCCTTCTTGGTGAAGCTTTTCCCTGTGAACTTCGAGTCTTCTGATGCAGGTGAGCAATCCTCTTCCCTTCCTTCATGGCACCTTTCTATTGTGCCAGTCCTTCCATCATCCCACCTTTGCTGTGTTGCCTTTTCCACTGTGTTGATCTGTCCAGTTGCTACAATCTTATAGCGCAGCTTACGGTAAGGAGCTGGACTCTTACATTCATGTATCCGTTTTACATTACTGTTTATAACTACCTCCCTTTTCCTTTGAAGTTTGATAGACACATAGTGTCACATGTTACTGGTTGGTCAGGTCACAGGAGGTTCTGGAATAGTCTCCTCTGAGTTTGAAGTTTACCTTTCCCAGATTGATGTTAGCAGGGCACCCTCTATGGGCCGTTGTTGTTCTGTTGTTTCTATTCAGAAGATGATTTAACATCAAAAACAAATGTCAAGTTGATAATCCTTAATTATTAATTAAGCTGTGGCATGAACCCAGAGTGCTAAATGGCACTGCTGTGAGCTGGTATGAGGATAGAGATGAGAGAGCTGAAAAAGAGCTGAGAAGGAACTCTCGGTGGCTGCCATGTCCTTTAGGTACAGGGGTGATTCAATGACAGGATGGGGCTGGGATGAGTGTGAATTGTCTGCTCTCCCTGGATGAGGGGGATGTAGTTTCCTGGGATGACAGAGGCCAAATTGGCCTAGCTGTTGTTGACTGTCTGAGGTTCTTTTGCCTAGGAAACAGAGTCCCAAGGATGCAGTACGCAATGTACGATGTCATACGCATTCAGAGTCTATAGGTTCTGGAGTGAGCCCAGATGTAGAACAGAATCAGCTCTTCTAGAAGCCCTTCTCCCATGTGCCAGAACGTCTCCAGGGATCGCTCTGCTGTCGGCTGTGTCCCTTTGCCAGCTGCGTTTCGCGAGGGGCTGTAGGAACACATAACGTCCACAGGGGGGCGCTGTGGAGATGCGGTTAGGATAAGAGGGAGCGCAGCGCGCAGCACGCACAGACCTGAGCGTTGCGCGGCTCTCGCTCTTCGGAGTCACCCACTGAAGCAGAGCCGGGCCCTTATCTCGCAATCCGAGAAACCAGAGATACAGCGCTGAGGAACGCGGCGGCCGACCGGGCCCCGCCCCTCTCCGCCCGGCAATCCCGGCCTCGAGGAGCGGCGCGGGCGGAGCTCAGCGCGTTGCCGCCCGCTGATGTCAGCGGGGCGGGGATGTGGCTCCGGCGCCCCTGCTTCAGCCCGAAGAGGCGGCTCCGGCTGCAGGCACCCGGCTGCGAGTAGGTAAGGACGGCCGGGGAGGCGCCGCGGCCTCTTCTTTCCGCCGCTCCGCCCGACGGGAGGCGGTTGCGGCAGTTCCGTCTCCCGTCGAACGCGGCCCGACCGCCCCTCGACGGAGCGTGGCGCTGCGCCCGTCCTGCCCATCAGCTCCTCCTGCGGCCCGGATGCTCTCCTCGGCTCCGCGCACGGTGCGGCTGCCTGAGGCGCGGTTCCCCTGCGGGGAGAGCGAGGAGGGCTCCGTGCGCGCCGGCAGCAGCGCCGCGGGACGTGCCGGGCGATGGCGGTGCCGCTCGGGCCGTGACGTTGCCTGGGCCGGCCGTAGTCAATTCATCGACAGCAGTTTGGGTTGGCTCCGGGCGCTTACCGCTGTGAGAAGCTCGTGTCTGGCTCGGGGTTTGCGGCGTTCGCGTTTGCCGCTGGGCTCGGGCGCTGGGACCGCTGAGCGCTGCGCAGCGTTTGCTCCCAAGGCGCCGGCCGCTGTTTAATTCGCGTGGGAGTAACACCGCAACTGGGAAAATACCGAGCGCTTAACCTAGCTTTTCAAAGGCAGGTGATGCGTTTACTCCTATGCTAAGCTGAGGTATCTCGTTAGGTACCTTATTTTGTATCTAACTCTGACTTGAAGTCAGGATGTAGCGTTTGGTGCTATGTGTGAATGCTGCGCTCGGGTCAGGTTAGGAGTGGAGGCTGCACTGATGGAGATTCACAGTGAAAGAAAGGAAGATGAGGACCGAGAGACTTGGATCTCATTTCCCATTCCCATTAGTAGACTACATGGAAAGAAGTTCAGAAAACAAACGAGAAAAGGCAGCTTCCACTTTCTGCTGCAAATTCTTACAGATACACAGAATTCAGAGACAATACTGCAGGTATGAAAAATCAGACAACCTTCATAAATGAAGTCTCATGTCAGGTGCATTTCATCTGAAGGGAAAATAAGCTTTTATCCTCCTGTTTAGATGAAGGTGGCCACACCCTATTCCTAATTTATGCTAAGGCTCAGGAAAAAAATGCAGGCTGCAAACTGAGGGGGGGTATTTAGATCAAAGGTGCATATTGTGGAGAAAACAGGTTGCTTTTCTTCACAGCATAAAAAAGATGGGGAAAAAGACAATACAGTTTTAATTCAAAATGGGAAAGCACAGTCAGCTTTCAAACTAGCTCTCACCTTTGGCATTTGCTAATTTGACTACCTGGATCGTGCTCTGAAATTTATCCCACTGATTTATACAGACATATAGAACTGTAGAAAAAATGAGGCTGGGAGGGAAACCCAGAGATGATCTGGTCTAGCTGCCTGCTTCAGGCCAAGGACAGCTATGTCTGCTTGTTACTACTTCATAAAATAAAAAAAGCATTATTAAATGTTAGACTACATGACCTTTGGAGCTTCATTAGCTTTTTAAAACATTTTTATTTTTGTTTGAATCTTCTGTGTTTAATTTCAACCTTTTTGCAGTTGTTGTAAACCTGTTTGCAATTCTCCTGTGAATATGAAAAATTATTTGCTATTAATGTTTTATTTGAAGACTGTTACAAAAACTTACTCTTCTGACATCCTGTCAATGGATGTAATGCTCAGCTTCGGGCTTATAGGTGTAGATTAAAAAAGAAATATTTTGCACGCCTAACGTATGAACGCTGTATGGAACTTCGCATGGTGTCTGCACCTCTTGGGAGCAGCTTTGCAGTGATACATCACTTTTACAGGAACTGTGACCCACTCTGACAGTTCTTTCCTTTGGACTGCTGTTATCTGTGCTGTACCTTATCCATTTTTAAGACTTTTTTTTTTTTTAGTTTTTCTTCCACTGCTTACAGTCCCTCTCAGTTTCCTGTTGCTTGTGAATTAGTAAGTGTACTTGCTGTTTTATATCCAAGGTAATAAAAGAAAACAATGAACAGAGTAGGAGGTAGCACAGTTGTTTGGATCCTCATTCTGACGCACTTATGGTGGCACAGAAGTGTTGATGGCTACTTTCTGAAGATGGTTATTCAACCAGTTTTATTCTTGTATTACAGAAATTTCATGCATCAGTTTTTGCTTATTAGCACCCCGTGTGGATGCAGGCAAGTAACTTTTAGCGGCTTTTGTCTGCAAGGCCCATTGTTCTGATGTGAAAATAAAGTAGGTTTTACATGCCTTTTCTTTACGGAGGTATGTTGGCTGCAGTTTGTCTCCTTGTTACCTTCTATGTAGAAAACAGTAATTCGTTTGATGGTTTGTTACCAAAATTTTCAGAGATTGGAAAGGAATTTTGAGAGACTGGTGTGTCTGCCTACCCCTAGCCTTCAGTTACTGCATTATCCTCTGAGTTCTGGGAAGTAACTGCCGAGACAACGTAATTCAGGATGAAAACTCAACAGATTTTAAAGTACTTGGCTCATATAAGTACTCTTTAATAAGTTTTAGCCGGGTTTCAAGGGTGAAGTGTTGTCTCTTACTGTTTTTTTAACTGAGTTGCTTTTGTGCTCTGTTAACCTCAGAGATGGGCAGGAAATGCTTTAGCCTTCTTTGATGTGAACCACCCAGCAGTGTCCATTCAGCAGAGCAGAAAAACAGTTCTTTTGGTTGTTGCTTTCCTGCTGGTGTCTGTAGAACCATTTTCTGGTTGTTTGGTATCTCTGAATGTTTCCATCTTTCAGCCTTAGCTGGTTTTGACCGTGTATGCTGCTGCCACTCTTTAATACTGATCCTTTGAGAATGGAGAAATGACTTTTTTTTTCCCCCATGTTTTCACATCATACCTGAATTAAATTGTGGTTTCTGATAGCATTTCTATCCTTTCTTTGCATTAACGTAGCTTGCACTAGTGCCTTTAATGACACTGCCATTTCTGTGTAAATGCTTCTGTGGCATAAAGTCTTATCCACCAGTTTCATTTTATTGAAGTCTGTTGCTCAAGATCCACTTTTTTCCTTTTTCTTCTTGAAGACAAATCACGCACGGGCAGATGCACGGACCGCTGTTGTGACTTGCGATTGTTCCCTTCCTCCTTTGTTGCTGTGAGCTCTGTGTTGAAGAGGCGCTCGAACGAAGGCGCTCCCTGGTGCAGTAATGAAGAGCTGTGCTCTCTGGAAGCAGCTAGTTAGAACATAGCTGCTGTAAGGATAGAAACGCAGAAGATATGCGATGAGATAGTTGTGTAATATATTTATACGGAAATGAGCTTATTTATAAGGAACTTAAAGGGAAGACAACGGCAAGCTTGGAAACAACAGTGAGCCCGGCAAAAATCAGTACCGGAGCACCACAGAGGTTAAAAAAAAAAAAAAAAACAAAAAAAAAAACCCATGAGCGAAATGCTCGTGCGTACAAGGCAGCTGTACTTTGTTTTGCTAAACGTTGTGGGATGTTTACAGTTCTATTTAATTTTGAGAGTAAGCGTAAAGGAAGCCCACGCGCTGAGCCCCGTTCCTCCCGGGGGCGTTCCTGCGCATGCGCGCTGCCGCCACGCTTTTGAGCGGCGCCCGCATCTCCCCAGTAACCGCGGCTCCAATCCGCGCGCTGCAAGATGGCGGCCGCGGGAAGTGCGGCGCGCGGCGGCGGAGGGCCGTAGGGTAGGGGCGTTCCCGGCCCTCGCGGCGCCGTGCATGGAGCCCGTCGGCAGCCCGCTGGACCCCGGGCTCTCGCAGCAGGGAACGCCGCGTCTGATCGTGGAGGACTCGCAGCCCGAGGGCGCCGGCCCGGAGCGGGACGCAGAGCGGGCCCGCCTTGGCGCGCTGGCTCGCCGGCTGCCGCTGCGGCGGAGCCCCGTGCTGGTGAGCGCCCCGCGCGGGGCGGGGGCCGGGCTCGGGCCCGACCGTCTCTGACGCGCGGCTGTGTGTTGCAGGAGATCGTCCGCGGGGCAGCCCGGGAGCGGCCCGCAGCTGAGAGCGGAGCGCGCGGCAGCGCTGACGGCGCGGTGCTCGCGGGGCCGATGGAGAGCGCCGCCGAGGAGACGCCGCCCCCCGGCCCGGACAACAGGTGAGCATGGAAATCGGGCCCCTGTCTCCGTCTCCCGGCGCTTTCTCGCCCCTTGAGACTCCTGTCGTGCGCCGCGTATGGTGCCTCCGGGGCGGTGCCCCTTGGTGGGCCCGGGGCGGCAGCTCCGGCTGTAGCCGCCAGGCGGCCTCGTGGGACACGGAGCACCGTCGGAGGGCGGCGTGCGGGAAGACCTGAGCGATGTGAACGGGTGTTTGTGTTGCAGTGCCCGCGGGAAGGCCGCAGGAAGATGCGAAGGGGATGATGAGGACTGTCCTGCCTCGCCGTACGCAGAAGGTAACGATGTCAGTTACACATCTCCGTTGTCCCGTCGGGGATGGCCACTCTGATGGTAGAATGTCAGGAATTAGCTTTCCTTCTTGCTGACGTTGCTCTTTATAATTTGATGCTTGAAAATCTATGACAGTTCCCTAGCGTTATAATTGGGGACCCTGCAGACAAAAGGTGGTATAGGAGGTGTATGCTGACCACTGGGAGGTCAGTTCTTTTTATGGAGGAGCAAAGAACTAGTATAGTGGCAATGCTAAGTCACAGCTTGAAGCAGTAATGGGGCAGCTGGTGGGAAGGCAGGGCCACCCCAGCGGAGCTCAGGTGCATGTAATGCATTGCACTGAGTGACAGGAAGGGCTGGAGCAGGATCCACCCCTTCCCAGCTCTCATTTAAGGGTTGGCAATGGAGGTGAGGGCATCTTGTTCTAGATCTCTGCCTACCAGAGGCCTTCTGAAGGTAAGCAGCTTCTTTCCTTCATTTCTGTGCCCGTGGCTGTTGTATTTGAGTGAATTCTCTCTCATTGCAGCCTGGGTTCTTGTCATTGTTGTGTTTTCTTTTGTATTACAACTGGCATCGTGATTGTCCTCAAAAGTGCAGGATTGTTTTCAGTTTGTGATCATCAAATGTATAGTAGTATTTAATGGTATCATGCAATGCCTTGCTGCTTAGCATTGGCTTTGGGTGTAATGGGCATGGTCACTGTGCTATTTGGTCACTGTGCTGTTCCATATTGCTTTAATTAGTACAGCTGAGATGAGAATATCTTAATTTGTTTAGGGTTTTTGCAGTCTCCTCAATTTGTCTTTTGCCTCAGTGCGTCCCTTGCTCTTGTGATTATTTCGTGTATGTGTATACTAGTAATGGGTGTTTTGTATTAGATACAGGAACATCGCAGCTGCAGTTTGGAGTTCTGGAGCTCTCGCAGAGCCAGGACCTGGAGAGTGATGTCACATCTGATGAAGATGTTAGGAATCAGCTTCACTCTGGAGCTGCTGTCTTTTCTTCTTCCAGAACTGTGAAGAATGATATTAAGGATGGTATGTGAAAATTTTCTTTGTCTCTTTGTTGCTCTGTCATTTTTTTTCTCCTCAATTTAGACTATTATGTGTCTGTGACAGGACATACGGTATTAGTAGTGTGCAACAGTGAGTTTGCAGTTCAGAGCTGAGTAGTATTTTGCCTTGTCTTTACTTTGGGCTAGTTTCATGTTTCCTTATTGCTATCCAAGTGTCATCATTGGTTCTTGAACCTCTCTTTACTGGTTTATTTTCAGAACTTTCAGATACTGAATTATGTCCCTGGTAAAAACCTAATTTCATCATTTAAAAAAAAAAATCTGTTATCCTTAATAGATCAGTATTAATGCTTTTTATGTAAAGCTTATCTTGATATATGTGTAACTTACAGAGCTATCTGTGCTTGTCTTTGTATGTTAATCTAGATGACCTGAGTGACAAGTGTTGTTGTTTTTCTCCACCTTTCTAGAACTGAATGTGAAAAGCAGGGGAACTGACACCAGCATAGAAACACATTCTGCTTTGGAGGGCCATCTGAAGGCATTTAAAGGGTAAAATAGTCAAAAGGTTTATTTTTGAAGGCAGTGTGCATGGGCTTAATTTAAATAATATACTGAAATCTTTCTTGTGAACAACTGAAATATGTCTTAAATAGAAGCTTCAGTCATAAAAATTCAAAACCTTAATTATTACCATATGGACATTAGACTCAGGAGAAATCTAGAGGCTAAGTGGTGGTTTCCAGGATTCTGTTGAGTATTTACTACGATAAACTTCATATTTTCAATTATTTTTAAATGTAAATGTTCATTTTGCTGGAAGCTATTTATATTCTATGCCAGATACAAGGTGAACAAGGTGTTACTCTATTGTTGCATTCTGCCACAAAATAGTAAGAAAGAAGTTGAAACTCACTTCGTAGAATTAAAGTCAGTAGAACAATCTGCACTGTGTTCAAGCAGCACTACAGTGGTAGGAAATTAGAAAACGTTTCTGGAAATTTGATTTGTCAAGGATGAAGATGGTTTTTGTCAAGTGAGAGATCTGCCTGCTTTGTTCATTTTCTTGCTGTGCACTGTTGAATAGCTTTCACCTATGCTGATTGCAGTTGATGCATTGAGTTTCTTGTTCAGGGACTGTGTTGTTTTCCAGAACACTGCTGGGTGCAGAAGAACACTCCAGGGAAGCCATGCCTGTCTCTGATTCGCCTGAAACTGAGCAATGCGCTGACCTGGGTCACGAGGAGTCGGATATCTTGTCGACTCAGGAAGAGATGTTTCCTGAGAATAATGTGCCAGGTAACAGCAGACGGTCAAAGCAAGAATGACCATCCCAGAGATAATCATAATTATTCTTGCTAGGTCTTTTCAGACATGTAATGCTTTAGAGTGTGAATACTGTGACTATTTTTCAATTAATTTTTCTTAAAATTTCTTACACGGAGTAACCTGGGTAAAGCATTGACTAAACCATGTCCCCTGGTACCATATCTGCATGTTTTTTAAATACGTCCAGAAATGGGGTCTCCCCCACTTCCCTGGGCATCTTATTCCAGTGCTTGACCACCCTCTCCAAAATACCTCATCTAACTCTCCTCAGTGCAACTTAAGGCTGTTTCCTTGTGTCTGATCACTTGTCACCTAGCAAAGAGGCCAGCACACTCCTTGCTATAACCTCCTTTCAGTTGCACAGAGCAATGAGGTCTCCCCTCAGCCTGCTTTTCTCCAGACCAAACCTCCATTCCTTCCATTATTCCTCAAAGCCTCTTTTTTTCCAGTTCCTTCACCCTGTGTTTTTGCTTTTCCCTTCATGTGCTCTGGCACCTAAATGCAGTCTCAGTTTATGTTCTAGTTTTAGTTTGTGAACAACTGTGTTGGTACTGGTATAATCCTGTATAAGTCCTCTGTGCCTGGGAGGTTCAATAATAGCTTAAGCAAACTGAGTCTGTGCTGTCTTTGAATCTATGGAGGTAATGTTGGAGCCACTGTGGATCTTTCTTCTAAAATTCTCAGCTATGAAGATATGTATAGTCTGATCTGATTTAAAAAAAAAAAAAAATCTATTCTGTAGTTAGAAGCTGCCTTTATCATCTGACATATATCTTGCTCACATTTCACATGCTGAACTTTCACGTGCTGTCCTTCATCCAGTTCAGTGTGAAAACAGCCTCAGGTAGACAAGGATGAGCTGTAGCTTTCTGATAAGCAATAATTAACATTGCTGGACAAATTTCTAATCTTATTTCCTTTTCTTTAAAGTTGCTGCAGGGAGTGACTGTCTTGTAACCAGAGTGGAAGAGGGAAGTTCTCTGGCATGTACCCCTGCCCGCAGTCTGCACCTCCTGCAGCTCTCTGGACAGGGATCCCTTGTGCAGGAGAGCTGTTCCACGTAAGCAGAAACAAAAACAAAACAAAAACAAACAAAACAGCAAAAGCAAACAAAGAAAACAAGAACAAAGCTACAAAATGATAACCGTGTTGTATTACAGTAGTTTCTGCACCTTTCCCACCACTTCATTTACCTTAATTTGTACAATCATGGCCCTTAGTTTGGGCACCATGTCACCTGTTTGTGTTTGTAGCTCCCGATTTGGAACATCCACACAGTTAAATAGGAATTCCAAAATATTTTGTTTCAGTCTCTAAAGGAGAGGATGTTTGCACGTGCTTTATTAGTCTCCTAGCATCCTTCTGTCAGAAAGCGTCCATATGTGCATGAGGCAGGCTTTCCTTCTGCTAGGTAAGGGATGCTTCAAAGAGGAAGCCTTATGGAGAGTATTGATTTGTTTGTATTTTCGTGTGGTGTTATTTAAAGGCTCCACTTCTTCTATAAAGAATGATAATGTAATTCTGTTGTTATGACTCAGATATTTTCCTTTGATTGTGTGTGTGATATATGGGACTTCTGTGTAGAGCTGCATGTGTAATTCAGGGTGAGAGTTCACATGTTGCTTCTAGAGTGTCCCTGGTTATGTTTGATGTTGAAAGGCTATATACAGCTGAATAGGGAATGAAGTTGCAGTTTGTAGCCTGTAACCCTGGGCTAATTTTTGAAAAGAGCTCTTCACTTAACTGGCTTTTGCCTGAGAGACTCCTGCTGGGCATGTCAGCTCCATTCCAGCACCAGCTGTCTGCTGAGAGTTCTTTCTTTGACTTGCCCTATTGTGATGACTTTTTTTTTTTTTTTTTTTTTGTATATAATGATACTGGATATGATGTCCTAACAGTTCCTGCTAGCTCTGTTGTCTGTTTCCTTTCCAAGTATGTGTATTTTCTTAGGTGAAAGTAGTCAAAACAGACAGCAGTTCAGATTGTGTTCTGGCAAGGTTTCTTTGACCTTTGAACCTGAATTGCTGGCTTATTTTTATTTTTATTTTATTTTGAGAAGATTGGCCAGAACTTTCTGCTTCATGTTTAGAGTTTTCAAATCTCCTCTGCCTACCCACTAACAATAAAGCATGAATAATTGCCCTTTCTCTCTACTCCCCTGCCACATGTGGGTGCTCATTTTGCAGTTTCCCTGTCAACCACGTTATTATCAATGTATGCTTTTGTTTTTCATATCTTAAAACTGTGTCCTTGACACTTTTGCTTTCTCAGTTACTGCATTGTTTATTTCTAAATGGACTATATACACTGTAGCAATTATCTGTAAATGTTTCCTACTGCACAACCTGAAGAGCAAAAAACATGCTCTCAGAACAGATGGGTTAGATGACCAGGTTGTGGTCTGTTTGTTAACCAGTGCTGTTGCAGGCAGTGAGGAGGAGACTGCAGTCTCCCTAATTTTCCATTAAGTATGCATTGTCAGGTGACTTTCTAGTCATATTTTTTTGTGGTCAGAGTTTAAACCAAGTGCAGTTTAAATGTGAAATTTCTTTTACAAAGGGGGAGTGTGGTTTTATTTTCCAGTAAAATGAAATCATTGTGCCTGTGTAGCCAATGATTGTTTCTCAGGTCTTTTGCTGGTAAACCCCTGTGTATGGGAGCTGCTGAGTCACAGCTGCCCCATGATTGAGCACCTGGGGAAAGGAGCGGTCAGCCCTGGGAGCACAGGGGAAGGCAATTCAGCTGTGGGACAGGAAGGGGTGCAGCCTGGCTGCACCTCTCTTAGAGCTCATTTAAGGGCTGGCTGCTGCTGTGGAAGGATCTCTTTCTGGAGATCCCTCCTTGGTGAAGCTTTTCCCTGTGAACCTGGAATCTTCTGATGCGGGTGAGCAATCTTCTTCCCTTCCTTTATGGCACCATAGAATTGTGCCAGTCCCTTCCATCATAACATCTGTATTGTAATGCCTTTCCCATTGTATTGATCTGTCCAATTGCTATACCCCTGGTACTTTTCTCTTGTGACAGGACTTGTATTGTGGCAAGGTAGAGTTGTATTTGGGGAGAAGTTAATACATTTTCTAGTGATGTATTTCCTTGTCCATGTTGCCTTTTTTTGGTCTGCAGTGGCTCTCCAGGTGTAGTTGTTCCTTCTCCTGTTGGCCTAGCATCCAATGCTCTCATCCCTGGCAGTCCTACTGAACAGGACCAATCAGAAGGTAATTTTTCCTGTATGCTCACCTGCTGTTGTTTCTTTGCTCTGTAGTTTGGGCATGCGGCCTTTTCAGGACTTGTTCAGATTGCTCTTAAAGTATAAAGCAGGATTGAGGATGCTTGAAGAACTAGATTTGGGGAGACCTGTAATTGTCACTCCTGATAACCTGTCTATTTCTTGCATAGCTATCACAATAAAATTAATTTTGCTGGCTAATTCTCTTTCATTATGAAGGATGAGGAATGCTTCATATGGAATACAGATTGCTGCTTGCCATTGGCCTCCTTTCTTGGGGCAAGCCATTCTTTGCGTATAGGTAGGTAGGTGTCAGTCTTAAACACACGCTGTTAGAGCAGTAAGAAAGATGGAAGAGAGCCTCTTGCCTGGAATGACCTTTTCAGTACTTCAGAGTTTTTTGTGTGTTTTGTATGCGTGTATTCTAGAAGGTTTTGCCAAGACAGCTTGTTCTCTGTAATATCTTGGCTCTTACATGTTACCTGTTTACTATCAGGGTTAACATATCCCCACAGACTTTCAGTATTGTGGAAAATTCCTATTTGTTTCTGTGAGAGTTCCATCTCATTTGCTGCACAGAATCTGAAGTACCTTTAGAATATATGTTTAGTTAGTGGGGTTTGAGTATGGTTGCATTTTAATAGAAGTTCCAAAAAGAAAAAAATCCTCAGAAAAATGCTTTACATAAACCTCAGATGCTTGTTTCTAATTGTAGAAGTTTTGGACCTTAAGTAGCAATAAGTAGCAAGATAGTTATGTGAACTCTTACCAAAACACTTTCTTCTCCCTCCTTTCCCTTGCAATTAAGGATAGTGTAGCAGAAATGCTAAGTCGCAGCCTGAAGCAGTGATGGAGCAACTGGTGGGAAGGCAGGGCCACCCCAGGGGAGCTCAGGTGTGTGTAATGCATTGCACTGAGTGACAGGAAGGGCTGGAGCCAGGACCCATCCCTTCCCAGAAATCGTTTAAGGGTTGGCAATGGAGGTGAGGGCATCTCTCTGGAGATCCCTGCCTACCAGAGGCCTTCTGAAGGTAAGCAGCTTCTTTCCTACATTTGTGTCCATGGCTGCTACATTTGGGCTTGTCCTTATTTGCTGCAGCCAAAGACTTTGCCATCGTGGTATTGTTGCTGTACTTTCCATACACTATAGTGCTACAGATAGTTCTGTTGATTTCCCCATCTTTGCAAATTATTTATGTTGAGATGAATAAAGTTCACCCATTGAAGTGTGAGAATGTTGCATAGGCTGCTAAAGTAAGTCTTTTAACAGTAATGTGGGAAACTGGGTAGAACACAGGCATCTGCTAGTAATTTTTCTGTTCTTTAAAACTAGATGAACATGTGGATGTCTCTACCGCTGCTGAAGGAAGAGAGCTGGCGCAGAAGGGACAGAAGGAAAAGAGACTGATGCAGGAGGAGCAGAAGAGAGATGAGCTAGTGGAGATGGTTATTCCACCAGGGCCTCCTGTTTTGCCACAGGCTTCAACTCCAGTGTCCCAGACTGCCCCAGCCTTCTTTCCTGAATCTTTACCTATACCATCACAACCAGTGTTCTCTCATGTGAGTGTTCATGTAAATATCTTTTTGGTTATAATTTTTTGTGGTTGTTGCAAAAATGTAATTGAGTCGACCTCTGTGCTTCTCCCTACTGAGATGACTTACAGGAGCTTCCATTTTCCCAGAAGTCATGTTTGTACATTAATGATGCTCTTCTGTTTGTGTAATTATGTGTAGCAGTTTAGCCTGCAGAGAGAATGTGTAACACCTTAAGATGGCGTAGTTACTGAACGTAGGATTAGTTATCTTTCCATCTGTATTAGAAACTTCTCCTGTGCTTTTGTGTTATTTCTTTAAAAGGCTGCTGATTTTAATACCCAACTGGACGTTCTGCTTCTCAAACTATGTCAGAAGTTGAACTTTATCAGGACTTCCACTTTGATCGTTACTTGTCATGGATAAGCTGAGACTGTTTTGCCTTTGTATTCTACTATGGAATGCTAGAATTCACTTACTGCAAATGTATTTTGAGTGGCTTATTCTTACTGTCTGTTGCTTTTGTCAGGATTGCAAAGGGTTTTAGCAGCTACTTGGTGGCATTGTAGCTCAGTGCAACAAATTTAATCAATTTAAGGCAGTAAGTAGAAGTTGTGCTAGAGATTTTGGTAGTTGAGGCAGGGCTTTCTCCTTAGCTGAAAGCGGCTTTCATACTAAAATAATAGATTATTACAAAGACTCTTTCCAGAACTCGTTGTTGTTTGACTAAAAACAGCTACTGATTTACCATAGTTGCCTGTGCTTCATAGTTTGGTAATAGGAGGGGTGAATTAAAGACCTTGTGTAACTGCCACAGAGGTACTGAAAAGTAATGGATTATAATTTTTGTCAGTGAGGTTGTTGCAGTTGGCACTCGTGTATATGGATTAAAAATCTGTTTCGTAATCGTTCGTCGTCTAGAAATAATAAATGGCTCTATTTGGGGTACCCCAAATAGAATGTTCAGTGTCCCACTTAATTTTTTTTTTTTTTAAATTTTAGGATATTTTTGTTCCAACTCAGAGTCCAGAGAAGAACGTGGGAGAAGAAAAAGCTGCTGTTTCAACCTATCCATGTATACCAGGAGACCTTTCTGGACCCGCAGATACTTTGTCAAAGATGCCTGTGGAAGACTCTGTGTCACAGCCTTCCGAGTCCTGCAATCTGATGCTTTCTGCAAGTGGATGCAGCCAGCCCACAAACACACAAATCAGTTCAGACTCTCTGAAAACTGGCCATGATAATGAAGCTACGCAGATCCAGGTAACTTCTGAATGTAGCATTTCAGACTTGAGACTCTCTTCTGTGGCGAATGACAGCGGAAAAATGAGGCTGGATGCCGGACATCAAGCCCTCTCTGAGAACTGTGAAAAACCAAAACAGGAGGATATACGTGCTGCAGGAAAGCCTGTAATGCAGTTAGGTAGTACAGAAATAGCAGGAGATGAGACGTTAGACCCTACAGCCCATCAGGCTCATGGGTGTATTTCTGGAAGTCAGGCTGCTGCAGATCAGTCTTGCCCTGAGATTTCATCCTGTTGTGACAGAAGAGAAGCTCAGTTAAAGGATTATTCACTGAGAGACAGTTCTCAATATGAGGCAGTTCCTGAGACTCAGCCTGAAGAACAGGAAGAGAGGATGCATATAGCAGAGAAGCAAATGAATGAAGACTACTCTCTTGTTAACACAATTGTCTCTCAGAGGTTCCTTCTTGAAGGGAAGGCAGAGCACCACGAAGAGATGGAAGTAGAATTTGCTGGTGGTTCTTGTGAAAATAGCAAAAAACTGTCTGAGACTCAAGGACTTGGAAAGATTAGACTAGAATGCTGCCAAAAAGAAACATTAAAAGATGGTACTTTTGGCACTGGAGAAGCAAAGAATGTGGATAAACTGTCCTCTAAAGCTGCTTCAGAAAGCATGCCAAAGCTGAATGAAGTGTTATCTAAGCCTTCTGTAGGGGAGTTATTAGAACAGCACAATTTGTTTCCTAAATTGAAGATTGACATTCCATCTGAGATGGCATTGTGTGCCAAAAGCCATGCACAAAGTTCAGAATTACATCAGATAATGGAGACTCAACCACAACAGCAAGAGAGGGAAGCTGACATGCTGATGACTCAGCAGGAGAATCAGGTGCCAAAGAATACAGTGATTACTGCTATGACAGTGAATCTGGAGCAAGAAGAGCAGATGCAGCCAGAGGAGCAGACAGCTAAGTCCCCCAGTCCTTCCAATGGTAAGTGAATTTTGGCAGTAATTGGTGGGTGTAGGCTTTGAATAACGTCAGTGTGTGCAATCCTCACCACTGGTCCTCAGTTCACATTAGACAATGAACCTTCAGAGCAGCACTGCAGATTACTCCTACATGCGTATCATGCCTGTACTTTTTTTTTCCCTTTTGTAGCAGTATTGCAGGCAAGAGTGATGAAGTAATTAATGTTCCTAATAGCTACTCACTGCTTTGTGGTAGAAGCTTTCAGCAATTTTGAAAATTTTGACCTTGGCAATGCTGATGAATTTTTGTAACTACTTTTTTTTTTTTTTTTTTCCTTGAAGCAACAAAACTGGTGTTCTTGAAAGGAAGAGTGTGTGGTAGTCTGTGATTCTTCTTTTTGCCTCCTTGGTTAGTTGGTTCGTTTAGTTCTTTGTTTTTCTATTTCTTTTTCATTCTGAGAGGATTTTCTTTGTGGAGTTGCATATAGCATCAAAAACAACAAATCTCTCTTGAGAGTATTTCTTTTTTTTTTTTTAAAGTTGAATGGCTTTTCACAGTCAACCTGTTGATCAGTGTTCCTTCATGTATCTTTTTTTTAATTGTTTGAACTGGAATGAGATCTTTTGCAGTAAGCTAAAACAAGGGATGGTTCTGGCTGAAACTTAATCTACAACAGATTTTAAAGAAATAAAGGAATCTTTTCACTGTTTTGCTGTGCAGCTATGCACAGGGAGGAAGGAGGACCCAGGGAACTGCAGGCCAGTGAGCCTCACCTCTGTACCTGGGAAGATCATGGAACAGATCCTCCTGGAAGCCACATTAAGGCGCATGAGGGACAAGCAGGTGATTAGACAGCCAGCATGGTTTCACTAAGGGAAGACAGTGCCTGGTAAATCTGGTTGCCTTCTATGATGGAGTGGTGGTATTAGTGGTCAAAGGGAAGGCAACTGATAGCATTTACGTGGACTTATGTAAGGCCTTTGGCATAGTCCCTGGCACATCCTTATATTTGCGTTGGAGACAGATGGATTTGAAGGGTGGACTATTTGTAGGCAAGGAGTTAGTGGGAAGGTTGCAGTGAGAGTGGTGTGGCTTAGTGTCCTGGTGGAGGCCAGTGCTGAGCGGTGTCCCCCAGGGATCCATCATGGGACCCTGATCAACCATTCCAACCCAATCGTTACGTGATTGTTTATTATGGAGGTGAATGTTGAATGTTTTTGATGCTGTATTCATTGTTTTCTGTAACAAAAAGAAGGAAAAATAGCTTTATTGTGTAGAAATAATACTCTGGGGGAATCTGGTCCTATGAGGAACGCAAAAGTACACGACAACATAGCGTGACTAAAAGGATCTCAAAGAATAGTTCAACAAGTGGGAGTAGAAACAGTGAAGTTTGGTTGGGTTTTCTTGGCTGTGAGCACATACTGCTGACTTCAGTTTTTTGTCCACTGGAACCCCAAACTCATTTTCCACAGGGCTGCTTTGTTCACTCATTGCCCAGTCTGTATTTGTGGTCGGGATTACCCTTACCCAGATGTAGGATTGTGCAGTTGGCCTTTTTGACCTTCACAAGGTTCATGTGGGCCCACCTCCCAAGTCCGTCGGGATCAGTCTTGCCTCTCAGCTCGGTGTTGTCAGCAGACTTGATGGAAGTTCAATTCGTGTCTCTGTATTTAGTCTCATCACTCTGAGGACGATTCCATCAAGACCACGGCAATCCAGTCTTCAACCAAGAGAGAATTTCCACACAAAGTGTGAGGAAGATCAGTTAGAACAGCAGTCCTGAGACAGTAACTAATTGCTCAGGATGATTTTGTACAGTATAGCAGCAGAGTTATGCTTTTTCCTCATTTCTACACCACAGTGAGTTATGCTTTTGGTACTTGAACTGGAACATCCTCCTGAAATTATTAATGCTGGCTCTCCCTGGCTTTTAGGAACACCATTTCATTTCACTTTGCCAAAGGAGGGTGATGCCATTCAACCGCTGACCAGCGTAACACCACCTCTCACTGGCCAACTTAAAATGGGACCTAGAAGACACAGCACACCAATTGGTAAGTTTAATCCGAACAGTTCTTCAGTAAAAACCTGTTCAGAAGCTTTTGTTTCTAGATGCAGCAAAAAAGACATTAGTACTCTATGAGGAGGGCTCAGGTGCTGCTTGAGTATTGGGTTGTATGAAGCACATTCTCCTTATATTTGTTACATTTATGTATGCACATCATTAAAGGATACAGGAGACCCCTCTGACTAGAAAGTGGAAAAAATTAAGAAAGATATTCTTTTTTTGCAAGACTTTCTCTGCCAAGGTCACATGAAACAACAGCCTGTAGTTGCTGAATGAAGGGTTGCGTTGGTAACGGTAAATTGTTCTCATCTTAAGCTGAGTGGAAACCACGGTGGCTACTTGCATAAGTACTTTTTTGTTGTTTTCCTGTTTCCAGTGGATGATAATTGTCCAGACAGCACGATAGCAACTAGTGACGTTACAGCAGAGGGCACAATGGGGACCAACAGTGTCACTGTGGAAAGTGCAGTGGTGTCAGCAGACGTGTCAGAAGTGTGTGAAAAAGGAGATTCTTGTGCAGTTCCTGAGGCTGATGTAAAACTCTCTCTACGAATGAACCTTGTTACCCCCATGAATGATGGGAGCGACGAGTCCCTACCATTCAGCTTGGAAAGTAAGAGCATGAAGCATCAAAATGCACAAGTTATACTAGATCTTAGCCTTAACTCAGAATCTCTCTGTGGTGTTCCATGATACAGTCGCTGTAATCCTGTTTTTCTTTTGGGACAGCGTCACTGAAATTTGCTTCTGTTTGTGCAGTGCTTTAAGCAAGGTTAGAGTGAGAAGAGAGGGCTTTGTTATGAGGAAAGGTATTTCAAGCAGACTGAAAATTGTGATGTATAGTGGCAATGTCCCTGGACAGGAAATAGATTGCACTGAAGGAAAGAAAAAATAGTGGAAGTGTAATTTGAATACACAAGTTTGACACCTTTTTAATCAGAACAGCAACACAGTCTGTTAGTCTAGAACTTGTTATATTTATACAAAATACACACAAGCTCAAGCCTACAATGGTGAGTTGGGTGAGGAGATCTGGAGTCACTTGGTCTGACCTTTGTGTGAGCCCTCAGCTGAGTATGGGGTGCTTTGAAAGGCAGAGGAGACTGGCACTGAAATTCTCTCTCTTCTCTCTTGTTTCAGAGCCTGCAGGCAGTGATAGGAAAACTGGATCTTCTGCTGCTGCCAGGTAACCAGGCTTGTTTATGTGCAGAGTTAATTCAGAAATCTGGTTAGATCCCTTTCCTACTCATTACTAGAGACGGGTTAAAAAAAATCAAAGTGAGACACAGGAGCTCTTTTAGAGGCAGCCACATCATTAACTCTTTAGTTCTCCAATCAAGTTTAAATATGTAGGCATGGATACAGGGTGGGTGCCCCACCTGCTGTTTCACTGCAGGTGTTGTGCTTCCTGATAGCATCAGCATTTTGCCTCATTTTGATTATAGTCAGAATAGAAATTGATGTCTTGTGCAGTCCAGAATGCAAGTCTGCACTATCCAGCTCTTATACTTAAACACATGGTTTCCTCTTTTCTTACTGTCAATTTTCTACAAAGAATCTCAGCTCTGAGGAGTTCTGAAAGAAAATTCTTTTTGGTGTGAGGCTGATAGAAGAAACATAACAAAGTCACTGATGTACTGAGATCACAGTTTAATTTGTTGGCCAAAATGTAAGTTACTCCCTTGATCTTTTCCTCTGTATGTATCTATTTTATCTCTTATGTAAGAAATACAGTTTCAGAGGCTGGTTGCTGTGTACTGTATTTCCACAGTGCCTAGCACTGCTTGATTGTAACTTTTGGGCTGTATGTTTTGTAAGTACTGATAATAATGAGTTGGAGGACCCTGTCTCTAGTTGTTGAAGTGAATGTAATGGTTTGAAGCAGAGAAACTTTTTGAAGTAAACTCTTTTTGAGGATAAGTTGCCTTTCTAGGTGTAGATTGAACGCTCAGGGTCTGCGTTATGACTCTTACTCCTCATATTTTTGCTGTGTTGTGAAGATTGAGTTAAGCCATAAATGATCTAAAGGTGTTCCCCAACGGCTACTGGAGGTAGTGGTTGGTGAAACTCCTGGTAATGCTGCAATTTTTGACCCTCCATTTTCTGCAGTCACTAGATTGCTCTTGGCTGTGAGGTTGTTGGCAGAAACGTTTATGCAAGATGTTTCTTGATCTTTGAGTCTGACCATCTCATTTGTTCTGTGACTGTATGTCAACAAAGTCAGTGCCAGTTGTTGTCTTGAGCAGCTGTAGTTTCAATGTATTTTCACACTCTCCAATGTGCCTTTTTTTTTTTTTTTTTAAATCTGCATTGCCAGCTCTCAGAAAGCATCATCTGTATTTAGTCGTGTCTGTGAAGTTCGGCGAGAGGAGGAGGCTAGAGACCACAGCCTTTCAGCTTCTCCACTTAGGTAACTATTTGCAGTCTTTGCCTGCCAGTCATATTTGGTTTAACTGCACTTGTGGGTTTTTTTCCTGCATCAACAAAACTATGTTCAAAGTCATTGTCTTAAGTCTGGGTAACTTAAAATGTTGGGCACAGTGGGCTGAGTACAGTAAGTACTGTATGTCACTTGATAATCAGACTTTTTGACTGTGTGGTGATGTGGTTCCAGCTGGCTGATAAACTTTGGTAAATCTGAAGCTTGGGAGGGATGAGAATACTGTTTCCATACCTTTTCTTTCTCCCTTCTCCAGGTCTTGTGACCTATTATTGTCTTTGTTAGTGCCTGCCTTCTAAGTCCATATATTTTTGCTGTCTGCAGTCCCTTTTAAAAGGGCTGTACTCCTGCACTGCTGGTAAGGATAAGGCTGCCTGATCTAGTATAGAAGTGACCTACTATAGAAATCTGCTGCTTCACTGTTTTGCATTTCTGTCTTCTTATGAAGGCAATGAGGTTTTGACCTATGGAGAAAGAGTAACCCGTATTGCAAGAGTACTGAATGATTACTCTAAATAGTGTAATGACTAGGGTATTCCAGTACTGGACAGTTTACAGACAGTGTGAGACAGTCACTCCTCAAAGCTTGTTAGATATGGAGAAGGCCAGGTGTGCGCTTCTAGTAAAACTCAGTGTAGAAGTGAGATATAGTGATCAATAGCACCATTGACAGGGCAGAGGAATTCTAGTGGAAATACTGGAGTTTGTGTGGATGCCCCTGCCTCCTTTGTGGATGTGATTATCAATTTCAAACTAACGGAGTGCCGGAGCAATCTGTAGCAACAACATTCGTATGGCTTGACTTCCAGAAACACTTTGTGCAGATGGTGCCCGTTACATGAGGTGTATGTCTTATCAGTGTTTGTAGAAACTCCTGATTTCTTGTAGTGTCAGCTGTTCTTCCAGCAGCCGTGTGGGTCAACTGAGAGATGTTGAGGTTATTTGATAATTTGAAAACTCACTGAGTACCATGCAATCTTTAGAAGCAATTGGATGATTGCACTGCTGTTTTTTCAGTAGTGTTTTCACCTGAGTGACAGTATTGGGATTCTTGCTTTTTTTCATCAGTAATTTTGATCTGCATATAACTGGTTTGCAGGGGAAATCCACTCGGCTTTCCTGGCATGGAAAAGAATGCTGAAATACGTGAAAATCCTGGTGATCAGCAACACAGAGCAGATGACAGTGGTGAACAGCTCCTAATACTTCAGGGCTGCCATCAACAACCTTCTTGTACAGAACAGAAAGAGTCGGTGGAGGCTGGTATTGTAAAAATTCAGATAGAAGAAGGGGCAAGAGTGCAGCAGAAACCAAGTAAGGTGGTTGCAGTTGATGAAAGCCAAGGGATGCAGCCAAGGGATACCAATAATAAAGGAATTCAAACTACAGCAGACTGTCTGTTTACCCCTGCAACTGTTACAACAGCAACGCAAACAGCAGAAGAAACTTATAGGCGAGTGGATGTGGGAACCAGTATGTGTGGGCAAAGACCTGGGCGACAAGATGTAAACATCCAAACTGAGGAGGGTGGACAAAAGCTTGTGAATACCCCTGCAGAGGACACAGACTCTCTACACAGTCAGGTGGGATGAAGGCTGCCTGTATTAAATTTTTACTAGCTTAGCACAGTGAAGTATTCCTGCAGTCAGTAAACTCACTAATTTTTTTTTTCAACCAAAGAAAGACAGAAAACTATTTTAAAATGTTAATATCACAAGACTTTTTTTTTTTTTTTTTAACTCTCAGCTGTGGACAGCTGCTAAGGTAGCAGTACTCTCCTGATAAGTTTGGGAAGTAAATGTCTCTGATTTTCTAGGAAAATATACTAGGCAAATAATTTTTTGTGTGTATTTCTGTCCAGATGTTGACAATTAAAAAACTAAAAATCACCTTTTGTTGGAGGAAAAGTATGAAACTTTTACTGTTTGTGCCAATAAACTTCAGGCAGCTGATTCTGCCACTCCATTTGATGACAGTGGGTAAGCATGTCAAGGAATAGCTCTTCTAGCTAAGTATTTCAACAAGATTAATAATTTTGAAATTAGTATTTTAGAAAGTATCTTGAAGGCTCAAGGAAGTCACTGCTTTGAAGCTATAACTTTGCAGGTTTCTTGAGACTATAAGGACTAGAAAATTCTCTTCTAAATTCGAATCAAGAATTTTGTGTCCTCTGGTAAATAGGAGATTAGAGGGCCACAAATACACTGCATAATGCTTTTGATTTTTGGATCTATCTGAGAGTATATGGAATGAACATCAGAAGCCGTACTGAGCTGTTTCCTCCTTGGACTGTTGTGATTTCCCTTACCCCTCAACAAGTGAAAATGTTTGCTTCTCCCTTGTTCTGGGTTTTCCATGTTGCGTCTGATTTTCAACAAGGTGGTGAAAAGCTTCCTACTACAGTGTTGGTGTGGAGAAAAAATTGTACTGCAGAGATTGGCAGAAATTGATTTTTGTGGTTGTCTGTTTTTGATTTTTAGTTTTTTCTCTTTATTACAGGGAGAGGATGAATTTAACCTTCATCCTCCCAGAGGTCAGGTTCAGCGTCGCCATGTGCGAACTGTTCGAGAGGTGCGCACTGTGGTTACCCGTGTTATAACAGATGTTTACTACATAAATGGTGCAGAGGTGGAACGGAAGGTAGTTGAGGTAAGTTCCCATTTCCAGGGTTAAATTAAATAACATTGTTGCTGAAGAATGAAGTAATGAAAATTAAAACATCATGGCTGCAGAAAGCATTAGTGAGTGAGCAATCCAGTGTGCTGTGATGACAAACTGGTCCCCATGAGGGAATGTGTAAACCATCCCATGCACATGGAAAGCTGTGTGGTTTTATGTGGCGTTGGTGCATTTTGTGCCTGTTCCTGTGTTCTCATGGCACACTTCTTGTTTTAATTACCCAGGAATGGAACGGAAGACTTCACTGAGCTTCCAGCTATTTCAGAATTCTTTCCATTTTGTCAGAATGGGGATTTCAGAATGGGCAGAAATTCTGTTCGCAAAAAATCACATCTACCTGTAAAACTGAACTATTTCAGGCTGTTCAGTGTGTTACTTCTTACCTGTGGTCCACAGACTTCTGAGTCCTGTGGATCAGATTCTAGAAAACACAAAAAATAAGTCAATTTTTAGTGTGGCTGTGTTGCTGTTTGTGCCATTCATTCATCAAAAGATCAAAAAAGGGAAATTCCAAGAATAGTCAACAGATGCTGATTTGATATACGTGGTAATCTTATTGGCCTGCTAGCAATAAAGCTTTACTGCTATTCAGGTATACAGGTAAAAATCGTAAGTGTCTTGTGCTGCATTGCTACAATGAGTAGTGGCATAAAGAGAAAAAATTGTTTCAGTGAGTTGTGCCTTCATACTTGTCACTACATGTGAAATTATTGTAATATTAAAATACAGAGTTAAATTTCCTTAAATGTTTGCACAGGCTGTGTGAACACAGCTGTATAACTGCTTTCAATTCATCTGTAAGCATTTGGTGTCAGTATTTTGTTGACACACGTCATGGAACTTGAATAGCTCCCAATGACTAGCTATCAGGAAATTGATCTTGGCTTATTAGTAACCAATCACTGTTACTATCTCAAATAGTTGTTACGCTCTCCCACTCTGAAAGGGTGGAAATTACTCAAAGCCTGACTAATTTATGGCTTTGAATTTGTAGTCATCCAACCTCTATTCTGGTGACTTTTTATCTATCTTTTTCATGTGATGCCTTTGTATAGGAGCAGCTATATGGTCAGAGCTGCTGTGCGCCATAGATCAGTCCAGACTCAATCTGCATGGCTGTTTTCAGTCTCATGAACGTGTTCTTAACTTGTCTGTGCTCTTGCCTGGTGATTGCAGAGCTTCCATCTAGCAAATTCATCAAAGTGACTGCTTTTTTTTTTTTTTTTTTTTTTTGCTCCTAAAATTAAAACTGAGGAGCCTGTAGTGGAGTGCCAGGAGTGTGAGACTGACACATCCTCCTCTAGAACTACAGTTGGCTCATCGCTGACGTCAGGGGACCTTGGTGATGTCAGCTCCTTTTCCTCTAAGGCCTCAAGCCTCCACCGCACATCCAGTGGAGCAAGCAGCAGTCTCTCTGCCACACACAGCAGCAGTTCAGCACGAGGCACTGGAGCTGTCAAAGGGAAAGTGTGTGGTACAGAAAGTGGAGAGTTTGCTTTACCCATTGGCAGAGGTGTCTTAGGGAAACTAAGGTATGTGTAGAGCCTTGAGAATGGAAGATAAGATATTTTACAGAAGTGAACAGCTGGCTTGGGTGGAATTTGAAGCAGGGTAGACTCTAAACCAGGGATTTTTATGTTGATGAACAGAAACAATGAAACAGACTTTCCATCTTTTTTTTTTTTTTCCTTTTTTTTCTGAAAAAGTAGTGGTTGTTTCCTCATGATGCATTGCTTTGCTTAAGCTCTTTAGGAGTTTAGAAGATAAGCAAAATCTTTAAGAGTTTTTAAGGGATGTGGGAGAGTATAGTGAAGTCACATCTCTTTTTGTAATGGTTAACTGAACTCTTGATTTCTCTAGCCCTAGGAAAGGAGTTGGTCAACCAGTATCTCCTCTCAGAGTTAGTCAGGCAGGAGCAGCACTTCTGTGTGAGGAAGAGGAGGACTCTATGCTTGGTCCTCGCCAGGGTGGCAAAGCACCTGTGACACCTCGTGGGCGAGGAAGAAGAGGCCGCCCACCGTCCCGAACAACTGGAACAAGGTACTGTGGGAAAAGGAGTCTGTAATCTTAATTTATTGTTGAAGAAGAGAACAGGGAACCACTGTCATAATGTGATGGAAAATGAACTAAGTGTTTCAGGAGGTAATTTTTAGTGATAGTGTGTAGCAGCAGCAGGCATGTAGCACAAATATTCTTTGGTAAATTTTTTGTTCCTTCTGGGACTGTTATTGTGTTTTCTCCAGAGATTTGGCTGGGATTCCTGTTTTGGAGGATCTCTCAACTACAGGATCACCTGAGGAGAAATCATTTGTTCGTACAACTCGCCTACCAGATGGAGGGGAGAAGTCTGACACATCTGGCTTCTGTGCCTTACGTCGAAGTGACTCTCCAGAAATCCCATTACAGGTGGTGGCTGGTCCTTCAGACTGTGCAGACTCATCTGCTGGGAGCAGCTTTGTGGGCCTCAGGGTTGTAGCAAAGTGGTCTTCAAATGGGTACTTCTATTCTGGGATGATTACTCAAGATGTTGGAGCGGGGAAATACAAACTTCTCTTTGATGATGGATATGAATGCGATGTACTAGGAAAAGATATTTTGCTCTGTGACCCTATCCCATTGGAGACTGAAGTAACTGCGCTCTCAGAGGATGAGTACTTCAGTGCAGGTAAGGGTAGTCCTTGAGCTCAGTCCTTGAGTTCTCAAGCTGCCTAATCCAGTGAGAAATGAGTGCTCCTCAACCTGAGTGTCTTAGATTAACAATGTAATTTGCTGTCTTGTCAGGTGTAGTGAAGGGGCACCGGAAGGAGTCTGGAGAGCTATATTATTGCATTGAAAAGGAAGGCCAGAGGAAGTGGTACAAGCGAATGGCTGTGATCCTGTCTTTGGAACAAGGAAATAAGCTCCGAGAGCAGTTTGGACTAGGTCCTTATGAACCTGTCACCCCCCTGACTAAGGCAGCTGATATCAGTCTTGGTAAGGTGTGATGCTTTTAGGTTCTGTGAACTACAAGCCTGTCAGCCTGACCTCAGTGCCAGGGAAGGTTATGGAACAGATGATCTTGAGTGCAATCACATGGCTGTTACAGGACAGCCAGGGGATCAGGCCTGACAACCACGGGTGAGTTCATGGAAGGCAGGTACTCCCTGACCAGCCTCATCAGCACCTTCTATGACTGGGTGAACCATTTGGTGTCGATGTAGTCTACCTAGACTTTAGCAAGGCCTTTGACACTGTCTGCTGATTAAGGCTGCCTGAGTAGTTGGGATTAGAGGAATGGGAAGCAGCACTGCACTCTGGTGGGAAGTAGTGCCATGCTCTGGTTGGGCTGAAAAGTGAGCAGCAGTGTTGTTCAGATTAGTAGAACTGTAAAGGGTGGGAGCAGCACTGCACAGTTGGGCTGTAAAGTGCAGGAAGCAGTGGTACGTCCTGGTTGGTTTGGCTGAGAGGAGTTGGAAGCAGTGCTGAGCTCTCATTGACTGAATAGGGTGGAAGGCAGCACTGTGCTCTGGGCTAAAAAGTGAAACAGTGCTGTGCATGGATTGGTTGGACTGAAGAGAATGGGAAGCAGTGCTATGCTATGACTGGTTGGGATGAGAAGAGCAGGAAGCAACATATTGTGATTGGTTGGGCTTAAAAGGGTGAGAAGCAGTGCTGAGATGAGCAAAAAACATGATGCTGTGCTCCAATTAGATGGACCAGAAAGGGTGGGAATCAGCACTATGCTTGCTTTCTGCTGAAAGAGCAGGAATAGGCACTGCACACAGGTTGGTTGGGCTGAAAAGGGTGGGAAGCAGCACTGTACTGTGATAGGTTGGGATGAGAAAAGCAAGAAGCGCCGTGCTCTGATCACTTGAGCTGGAAAGAGTGGTAGGAGGTGCTGTGTTCTGATTGGGCTGTAAAGGGGGGGATGCAGCACAGTGATCTAGTAGGTTGGGATCAGAGGAGCATGAAGTGGCAGCATGCTCTGACTAGGTTGAAAAGGGTGGGAACCAGTTCTGTGGTATGATTGGGCTAAAAAGTGTAGGATGCACCTCTTCTCCAGGCTGTAAAGGACAGGAACAAGTACTATGCTTCCTGCCTGGGAAGATCCAGGAACAGATCATCCTGGATTACATGCTTGATCACATGAGGAATGAGCGTGTGATCTGAGACAGCCATCACAGATTCACCAGGGGGGAGTCATGCTTGACCAATCTGGTGGCTTTCTGTGTTGAAGTGACGGTACTGGTGGACAAGGGGAAGGTGACCGATGTCATTTACCTGGACTTGAGCAAGGCCTTTGACAAGGCCACCACATCCTTATCTGCAAATTGGAGCGATGTGGATTTGATGGATGGACCACTCAATGGGTAAGAAACTGGTTGAAAGGCCGCAGACAGAGGGTGGTCATTAATGGTTCTGTGTCCAGGTGGAGGCCAGTGACGAGTGACGTCCCCCAGGGCTCTGTCTTGGGACCGGTGCTCTTTAACATCTTTATCAATGACATCAATGATGGAATTGAGTGCAACCTCGGCAAGTTTGCTGACGGCACCAAGCTGAGTGGTGCAGTTGACATGGTAGAAGGAAGGGACGCCATTCAGAGGAGGGACCTTGACAGGCTGGAAGGGTGGGCCCAGGTGAGCCTGGTGAGGTCCAGCATGGCAAAGTGCAGAGTTTTGCACTTGGGCATACAGACTGGAAGGAGCGGTCCTTGAGGGCAGCCTTGCAGAGAAGGACCTGGGGATCTTGGTAGATGAAAATCTCAATATGAGCCAGCAGCGTGCTCTTGCGGCTTGGAAGGCAAATGGTATCCTGGGCTCCATCAAAAGAGGTGTGGCCAGCAGGGACAGGGAGGTGATTGTCCCCCTCTACTCTGCTCTTGTGAGGCCCTATCTGGAGTGCTGTGTCCAGGTCTAGAGCCCCAGTTTGAGAAAGACAGCTGATGCAGAGGGTCCGGAGGAGAGCCACAAAGATGATCAGGGGTCTAGAGCATCTCCCTTATGAAGACAGGCTGAGGGAGCTGGGCTTGTTCAGCCTTGAGAAGAGATGGCTGCGGGGTGACCTCATTGCAGCCTTTTAATACCTCAAGGGAGCCTACAGACAGGAGGGGAATCAACTTTTTGGAAAGGTTGATAACTGCAGGACAAGGGGAAATGGTTTGAAGTTGAGGGAGGGGAGATTTAGGTTGGATGTCAGGAGGAAATTCTTTACAGAGAGAGTGGTGAAGTGCTGGAACAGCTGCCCAGAAAGGCTGTGGATGCTTCGTCCATCCCTGGAGGTGTTCAAGGCCAGGTTGGATGGGGCCCTGGGCAGCCTGGGCTGGTATTGAATGTGAAGTTGATGGCCCTGCATGTGGCAGGGGGTTGGAGATTCGTGATCCTTGAGGTCCCTTCCAACCCTGGCCGTTCTTTGCTGATTAGTATGAGAAGAACAAGAAGTGGCACTGCACTCTGGTTGGACTGAAAAGGGCAGGGTGCAGTGCTGTGCACTGATAGGTTGGGCTGGAAAGGGCAGGAGGCAACAGTGCATTCTGGCTCAATTGAAAAGGGAGGGAAGTAGGACCATGCTGTGGTTGGGCTGAAAAGAGTGGAAAGTGGTGCTGTGCTCTGGCTGGGCTGAGAAGGGGGGAGGAGGGAGGGAGTGCCATGTTCTGGTTGGGATGTGAAGAGCAGGAAACAGTGTTGTGCTATAGTTGGTTGAGCTGAAAACTCAGGTAGTGGTGCCATACTATGGTTGGTCGGGCTGTAAAGAGCAAGAAGAAGCACTGGGGTGAGAAGAGCAGGAAGCAGCACGACGCTCACTGGTTGGGCTGAAAAGGGTGGGAAGCAGTAGTGCTGGTCTCTAGTGGAAATGAGGATGGAACGCAGCGCCATGCTGTGATCAGGCTGGAAAGAGTGGGAAGCAATACAGTGCTCTCATTGGCTGAACTGTAAAGGGCAAGAAGCATTACTGCCCTCTGATGGGTAGGGCTGAAAAGGGCAGGAACAGTGCATGCAGAATCCCAAAGAGGAGGAAGCCATGCTGCTTGTTGCTTGGTTCTTCTGAAAATAGCTGAAAGATGCATGGAGCTCTGGTTGGCTGGACTGAACAGAGTGGGAAGGGAGAGTTCAGCCATCTTTGGATGAACAAAGGTCGTGGAATTAGGTGGCAGTAGGTGACTAGTTTAATTTTCACATTCTATTACAGATAATCTTGTGGAGGGGAAGCGGAAGCGACGCAGCAACCTTGTCTCTCCCAGCTCCTCCAGTAGTAGCACAACTCCCACTCGTAAAGGGATGGAAAGTCCACGTGTGCCACCAGGTGTACTTTCTGGCAAGAGGAAACTTGTTGCTTCTGAGGAAGAGAAATCCCCAGCTAAACGTGGCCGTAAGTCAGCAACAGTAAAGCCTGGTGAGAATCTCTTTAGTTGCCTGTCTCTTTTTGTAACTTATTGCATAGTAAGTCCTAAAATGCCTTCACACTTAACGCTGTGAAGGGTCCCTTTCTTTGGCAGCCTATCAGTAACCTGAAATATTGTCCCATTAGTCACTCCCTAGTTTTGATTTGAAGACTTTTTGCAACTATAAGGGTAAAAGATACCAATCTATCCTAGCCTAATCCTAACCAAGACCTGTTTCCAAGTAACTCAAGTTGAATGTATCCTAAATCCTTCTGCCGGTCTTTGTGCTGAACCTGACTTGAGACTTGTGGTGCTTCCATCTCTCCACAGGGGCTGTGAAAACAGGAGAGTTTGTGAGTACCTGTGAAGGCATAGATCCCCCACTACTGGAGGATCATCATGGACCATTGCCGCACAATAAGACTCTCTTTTTGGGCTATGCCTTTCTTCTCACCATGGCAACACCCAGTGACAAACTGGCCAATTGCCTGAAGCCTTCAGATGGTCCTGCAGGGAGTAGTGAGGAGGAAGAAGGTGAGGTGAACCTTACCCATTGTATTTTCAAGTGGAATGCTGTGGCTGTAGGAAAAGGGCTGGATGCAGTCTGGTCGGGCATTTGTGAGTGCTTGTTTTATTCTTTTGCTCTTTAATGCTTTGCAGAAAGGAGCTAAGACTCAGTCTGTTTTAGAGAATTTACAGTCTGAAATGTATGATGTTGTATCAGTTTATAATCAGATTATAAGGCTGCGCAGCAAACTAAGAAAGGTGAGACCAGCAGTTTGAGAAGAATGTAATATGAGAAGCAAGATTTTGAGAGATAAGCGATGGGAAGGTGGGGACTTGAAAGTATGAATGGGTTGCTGCAGTTTGCCTTTGCTAAAGTAGGTGTGTTCTACACAGTGAACTTCAGCATGCAGAAAGCCATGAGGTGCTTATTGGCTAGTTAGGCTAATAGTTGTTTCCCTTCTTTTTTTTTTTTATTTTGTGGATGTGAGTGGATTATAGCCAAAATCTTAACTTTCTATTTCTGTTTTAGAATTCTTAGAGATGACTCCATATAACAAACATTATATAGCACAGCAGCTGCGAGCAGGAGCGGGCTATATCCTGGAAGACTTTAATGAAACACAGGTAAAGGCTTGCTCACTAATTTATAGAACGATAGTCCAAGTAGTTGTGATTAGGAGTTTCTGTAGGTTGTCTACTCCAGCACCTTGCTGTAAGCAGGACCAGCTTGAGCAAGTTGCTTAGGATCTTGTCCAGGCGAATATCTGAGGCTGAAGATTGCACAGACTCCCTGAGCAGAGGTGTTTTATTGCTTTAATTTAAAAAAAAAAAAAAAAAATATGTGTGTGTGTGTGTATATATATATATATATATATATTTTTTTTAAATGGAGTTTTCTGTATTTAAATTTGTGTCTTGTCTTAAGTGGATACCATCAAATATTATTTGTCTCTATCTTGTGTGCTTTCCAGTCATTAATATGCATTGGTGAGACAACTTAATCTCTTCATGTGTCTAAACAAGTCTCTTGTATGTCATATGCACCAATTCCTAGATCATCTTAGAACACATCTTAGAAGCAGGTCCAGCCAAGAGAGCTACTTCGATGTCTCTATCTTTCTCGTGCTGTACAACCTGATTTTACAGATCTGGTCTTGCTAGTGTTGCATAGGGCAGCAGGATAACATTCCTTGACTCATGACGTGGAACTGGGGCTGACTTGTGACAGGAACTGGGAATGTTCAATCTGGGGAAAAGGAGGCCGAGGGGTGACCTTACTGCTCTCTTCCAGTATCTGAACGCAATAGCAAGAGTGGGGTTGATCTCAGTGGTGACAGGTGACAGGACGAGGGGAGGCCTCAAGTTGCACCAGAGTAAGTTTAGGTTGGACACTAGGAAACACTTCTTTACAGAAAGGGTTGTTAAGCACAAGGATAGGCTCCCCAGGGAGCTGGTTGAGCCACCATCCCTGAATACGTTTAAAAACCATTTGGATGTGGCGTCAGGGACGTGATTTGGCAGAGGGTTGTTAGAGTTAAGGTAGTATGAGTTAGGTTGTGGTTGGACTTGATGATCTTCAAGGTCTTTTCCAACCTGAGTGATTCTGTGATTCTATGTTTTTCCTAATGCAGTCAGTGATGCTGGTTGGCTTGCTGCAAAGACACTTTGCTTGCTCATGTTTAATTTGTCTTCCACCTGGAGCTCCATGTTCTTCTCTCCAAAGCTACTTTTCACTTGATCAGTCCCCAGACTGTCCTTGTGTTGGAGTTGTTCCTACCTGGGTGAGGTACTTAAGATTCGCCTGTTAAACTTCATGAGACTCTTGTCAGCATGCTTTTTCAGCCTTGAGGCTTCTCTTGAAAAGCAGCACCATCCACAGTGGTTTTCAGCATCACAATGAGAAACTGAGTTATTTTAGTCAAGATGTGTGTTAAGCATTTTCTCTTTTCTGTAAATACAGTGGTTTTTTTCTGTGTCAGTGCTCGGCTGTGTAATGGTAAGCGGAGGTGGTGGTTGAGATGTAGAGGAAGGAGCTCCTATAGAGTTCTTTCATTTTCTTTTTCCCTTTTTGGCACTTCCTGATGAATAGCAGGTAAATTAAACACAGTTCTTATAGGAGGGAATAATTAAACTTTTGTGATTTAGTGGTGATAATTCTTAGGCATTACCTGGGGTATCTGGACAGCTAGAGATAGTTTCTGTCTCCATGAGAAATGCTGCCTAGTTTAAGTAGGAATCAAGTAAAATGGGATGAGTAGGATAGCTCCTGTTGAAACATATAATGGGGTGACAACGGTTGAAACTGAAAAGTAACAGATTTACAATGAATGACTAGTCTGACCAGGCATCAAGAAGCAGCTGAAATATATCCTCTCATCTGAGGAATGATGTGAAGTGGTTAGTCAGTATATATTGAGGAAACTTCAGATTGCAGAACAGACAAATGGAATTCATAGACTCATAGAATGGTTTGGGTAGGAAGGGACCTTTAAGATCACCTAGTTCCAACACCTTCCTCTAGACCAGGTTGCTCACAGCCCCATCCAGCCTGGCTTTGAGTGCTTCCAGGGAGGGGACACCCACAACCTCACTGCACTGGGCAACCAATTCCAGTGTCTCACCACTCTCACAGTAAATGATTTCTTGTTGATACCTAGCCTAGGACTGCGGTCTTCCAGTTTAAAGCCCTTTCCCCTCATCCTGTTGTTATGTGACCTTACAAAAATTCCCTCCCCAGCTTTCCTCTAGGCCCCTTTCAGGTGCTGGAAGGCTGCTATGACGTTCCCCAGAGCCTTCTCCAGGCTGAGGAGCCCCAGCTCTCTCCTCCCCTCCTTGTAGGGAGGTGCTCCAGTCCTCTAATTAATCTTAGTGGATCTGCTGCAGCAACTCCATGTCCTTCTTATGTCGGGGGCCCAGAACTGGATGCAGTGCTCCAGGTGGGGTAGCAGAAGAGCAGAGTAGAGGGGCAGAACTGCCTTCCTCGACATGCTGGTCACACTTCTCTTGATGCAACCCAGGACATGGTTGGCCACCTGGGCTGCAAACGCACATTGCTGGTTCATGTTGAACCTTTCATCGATCAGTACTCCCAAATCCTTTTCCTCAGGGCTGCTTTTTAACGATTCTTCACCCAGGCTGTATTGCTGCTTGAGATTGTTCCCACCCAGGTGCAGCATCTTGCACTTGACCTTGTTGAGCTTCATGAGCTTGGCCTGAGCCTGCCTCTCTTGTCCAGGTCCCTCTGGATGGCATCCTCCTGTGTGTCAGCTGCACCTCACATCTTAGTGTCATCTGCAAACTTGCTGAGGGTGTACTCGATTCTTCTGTGAGTGCTGCTTACAAAGCTGTTAAATAGCACTGATCCCTGAGGAATGCCACTCATCACTGGTCTCCACTTGAACATTGAGTTGTGGACCACAGGAGAAGCATCACTGTCTAGATGAACAGAAAGGACAGAAGTTCATATTGGCTGTCTGAATCTCAAACACAATACATGCATATTTATGTACTTATTTGTGTGTATCTATGCATATAGCAAAATATGAAAACTGAATATCAGCTGCTTTTATAGATTATAATGGATCTGCTTAACCCAGCAGTTGATCACCACACAAAATGGCAGTTAATCTACTGCAAATTTGTTGTCTTGAGGTTAGCTGCCTATAAAGGAGTGACTCTTAGTAATATGGGCCAATTAACTTCAGAGATTCAAAGTAATGCTACCAGAATACAGATTCACTGTAGAGCTGGTGAAGGCCTTAAAAGTGATACTGTAGTTGTACCATCAGCAGTACTGGAGTCTATCAAACAACTTTTGTCAAGCATCGCTCTTGATAAACTGGACTTATTCTTACATATCCAGAAGATCAAGTAATTGAAGTTTACTATCGAAATCTATACAAAGGATTTATCCTAATCTTACGTGAAATTCAAGGTTGATGTAGTGATGCTGGCAGAATCTACGAGTAATAATAGCACCCGGAATAAATCTTTAACTTCTTTGTTCAGTTTACAACTCTTTTCCTGAAGTTTTATTTAGCATAAGATTGCAGGCAAAGCCAGAAGAATGTTGTGCAGACTTCAAGGTGAATTATAGACTTATTTTTTATTTTTACTTTTCCTCAATTAAAAAAAAAGCTGATTTCTAGTAAAAATGTAAACTGTTTTTGGAGTGTCTTGCCTGAGGGTAGAGTTGTCTTTACTGACTTAGTTCACAGTTTAAAAGATGTTTCTCTTCCTTTATCTTCAAGTAGAAGAGAGAGGTATGATACAAAAGCAATAGGTGGAGTTTTTACATGTGCTACACAGCTTGGAATAGGTTGTTGTGGTCTGTGAATTGAATTCGCTTCTCATATAATAAGGCTGTGGAAAGTGTTTTCATTGTTTTCTTTGTTACTGTTCAGCTGCAGATAATTTCAAGGCTTTTTTCCAAGCACTCTATTTCCAGTTTACATGTTTTGTTTTTTTTTTTTAATCTCTCCTGAAGTGTAATGCAGCATATCAGTGTCTTTTAATTGCGGATCAGCATTGTCGAACACGGAAATACTTGCTGTGCCTTGCTCGAGGGATCCCTTGCGTGTCTCATATCTGGGTTTACGATAGCTGTCATGCTAACCAGCTTCAGAATTACCGGAATTACCTTTTGCCAGCTGGGTACAGCCTGCAGGAGCAAAAACTGCTAGAATGGTAAGTGCCATAAGTAATAACCAAGATGTAAGTGCACAGGCTAAGGATTTAAGGAAAGGGAGATCTTTATGCTTGGTAAGCTTTGGAGTATTGCAAGTACTGAAGGTGTCTGTAGTACTGCCTCCCGTGTTTGCCATTTGTATAGAAATGCATTTCCACTTCTTTTCCTTGGTGTCGGAGCCACATCCAAGGTGGATTTGCCTGCTGTATGTACAAAAAGAGTCTCCCAAGAAGAGAGAGATTTTTGGTCTGTTGAGAAACACGAAATTCAGGCAAGACTTCCCGCTCACTTAGCTGGACTCTGTAATAGCTTGGAGTGCAATACTGTTGTAACTTTCTCACTGCCATGTTTTGAATTCAGGATACTTTCTTGGCATTTCTATAGAACTTAAGCACTGTTCTGTTCCAAGACTCCTTGGAGACAGTGGCAAGCAGACAAAAGCAGACATGAGATCCCTGGAATTTCTTGGTCTGGGGACTGATGGTAGATTGCTTGGCTCTATCAAAACTGAGGTGTTTTGGGTATGCACAAAATAGGTTGTTCAGCATCAGAGATTAGCCAAACTCTGCGTTCAGACGGCTGCACCCGTGCATGTGCATACCCCCATGTATATGTGCACACACTACCAGTGTGGTCTAGCTCTGTTTACTATCTGGAAGTAGAGGGAAATTGTTCCAGGTATTTCAGGAATGTGTGCTGTTAAGATATTAAAAGTACTAATATGGGAGCTGATCAGTTGACATGGGGAGATAAACAATGGTCCTCAAATAAAATCTGGGGTCATCATAGAATCGTGGAATGGCTTGGGTTGGAAGGGACCTCAGTGGTCATTGGGTTCCAACCTGTGCTGCAGGCGGGGTTGACAACTGGTAGATCAAGTACTGGATGAGATTACCCAGGGCCCCATCCAACCTGGCTTTGAACATCTCTGAGGATGGCGCATTCACAACCTCTCTGGGCAACCTGTTCCAGCACCTCAGCACCCTCCTCCTGACATCCACTACACCTTCCCTCCTTTAGTTTAAAACCATTCCCTCTTGTCCTGTTACTGTCTACTTATGTAAAAAGTTGTTTTTCCCTCCTGCTTATTAGTTCCCTTAAAGTATTGGAAAGCCGTAAGATGATCAGGTATCTTTAACAGTCTGCAATCACTTCTTCCACAGGCACCCACGAGAAAACCCATTCCATAACCTGAAGGTTCTCCTAGTATCAGATCAGCAGCAGAATTTCCTGGATCTGTGGTCTGAAATCCTTATGACTGGTGGAGCATCTTCTGTTAAACAGCATTTTTCAAATGCTAACAACAAAGGTACTCATTGGCTTTCTCTAGTAGCTGGAAATCCTGTACTGCTCTGCTCTCTGGTATGGTTTTAAAAATCATTTAGGATCGGTTACAAGCATGTCTATAAGCATAAAGTAAGGCAAAATGGTGATACTAGCTCTCTGCCTGAATGTAATCTAGATAACACACAGAAGCTCTGCCTTCCAGTGAATGATGCAGTGCAGCAATTCAGGATACAGGCTATCAGCCTTAAAGAATTGCTCCTGGGCCTTCTGTAGGCCACTAGAATTATTTCCATGTTCTTCTGAATTCCTGTATACACGTTCAACTTGTTGCTTCTCTGTGTGGCATGTAGGTCCTAGCACTGCAGCCTGAGGTCAGAATGCATGGTTATCTGCTACTGCTTGTAATCTCGGTGACTGGTTTTCTGTTAACTTCTGTCTGCCCTAGGGGGAATCCTTTACTGTCCAGTGTTGCTGTATAGCTTGTCTTAACTTCTAACAAAAAGAATTCATAGGCTAGCAATGGGAGATGCTAAGGACATTCATGGTAGTAGGGTAGTTAAACAGACTTCTCTGCTGTTGCAAGGAAGAGGGTGTTTTTTTTTTTTTGTTTTTTTTTCGTGTTTTTTTTTTTTCCTGACCAGCACCTCTTTCTTCATACACAGATATTGCACTGGGTGTTTATGATGTGGTGGTGACTGACCTTTCCTGCCCAGCTGTCGTCTTGAAGTGCGCAGAGGCATTAAGGCTGCCTGTTGTCTCACAAGAGTGGGTGATCCAGAGCCTTATTGCTGGAGAGAGAGTAGGCTACAACAAGCATCCAAAATACAAACATGACTATGTCCCTCATTAAGCTGAAACTTTGTCCTGCTGCCCCATCGTTGTGCAGACTGTTTTAATCAGGTTTTAAATGTTTGTGGAATTGGACAGCGTGCATGGTTTATTGTATATAGTTTTATCTGCTGAACTTTTATCATGAAATAAATGTTCAATCTCTTGTGTTAGCTATTCGGTTTTCTCATTTATCTGCCTTGCCTAAATGAGGGCAGAGGGAAAAGAAATACTTATGCTTGTCTGGGCTGAATAGCTTAAATGTTCTACTTTCTCTACACCCTGACCCCAGCACGAAAAGTCAATTACAAAAGGATGGAAAGGTGGAAGATTTTATTTACAGAACGATGGACCTACGACTGAGTTTAGGGCACCGGCACCTCTTGTTTTTTGGAAGAATGGAATGTTGTGTACTGCTACACCTTGTTGGAACAAGATATTGCTGAAGCAACTGGTAAGAACTGTGAGGACAAAGTACTGTTTTGTTTTGGCTACTTTTTATTTTTCTTCCCTCCTGTTTTGGCTATACAGGCATTAACCCACCTCAGCACAGACAGGCAATACAAAAGTGGAAATGAAAAGGGAACTAGGATGAATAAACTGCTGGGAGCCTGAGGTGCAGGGAAAAATAAGTGCATGCCAAAGATTTATTTTGGTTCAGTACATTAGTCACAAGCAGCATTCTAAATAGCCTTGAATGACAACAGGGTACATATAACAGGGTACCATGTGTATATATATACATATATACAGGGTACATATGATGTCTAAAGTTTGTCCCTAGCTTTAGTTCTAGCACCTTTTTCTGTCACCAGAGGGAGATCTGCACTTTGAACAGTGCAAATATTAACAGGTGTGAATAATTCCAGCATGTTAAAATATACTAAGGAATGGGCTAGCATTGTTGCATGCTTTCTCTGTAAAACTTAACTAGACTGATATGCTGGAACAGTGCACTGTAGAAGAAAAATATTCTTAAACTCTGTTCATTCCAGTTTACTTCGAAAAGCTATTGAAGCTGTTTCTTTTACATGAAGGTATTTGATTAGCACACATGCAGTAAACTGGTTTACAACAGACAAGTTCAGTTTCTGAAGAAAGCTAAAACTTCATTCATGGTCAAGAACAACAGGCTGCTTCCTGCATATTCCAGCTTGCCAAGCGTCGCAGTCCAACTGAACAGCCAAAACGTGCTTCTGTGTTTTTTTTTCCCCACTTCTTGAAGAAGCATAGACTGCCTCTCTGGAAGCACTTACGAGTGTATGAAGGCTGCAGAAAGCATATTTGTACTAGTTCTGAACAGATGGAGAAGCTTTCTGTAATCACTGGGCAGCTGCAGGTAGGTGGTGCTTCCTGCCAGTTCGTTTTGACAGTGCTTCCCTAGGCAAGAGCCAACTGCGCAGGCTTCACTGCTCACTCTGCTGTTGGTTGCAGCTTGAGGAAAAGGTCTTAGTGCTCAAACCCCAAAACTGCAAGAAAAGGATGCAGTATTAACATATTAATAAATTGATGTTAACAAATTGCATGGAGCACCCCTCAATTAATGCATGTCACCATTTCTCAGCATTAACTAGCAGGTAGTTCAAAACAATGGGGGGAAGCACATGTGAAAACCAGAAGCCAAGTCAGTCCAGTTTTGTTACTTTGTATCACAGTACTCTTCAGCCTTTTGCTTCCAGTAATTTTGGCTTATGAAATGAACATTGCTTAATTACGGTTGTTAGCATGCTTTATATTTCAAGTGTCTCAAGATAATTCTGCAAGTGCCCCGAAGTCATTCCTACCTGCCCAAGGTTCCTCCAGCCTGTGTGTAATATTTGTTATAATCCAGACGAAGTAGCAGTTGAGCTAAGTCAGAGTTTATTTGATGGTTTCGAACACTCGAGAGAATCTTGAAGAGCAGTGATGACTGACGACTGAACCCCTACAAATCACAGGAAACCTGTTCAGGAAAGCCTTTTCAATCATTGAGTAGCCTGAAGAAAAGTGTCACTGCGAAAGACTTGCTAGTGGTCAGCTATAGGGTAACCTGTCAGCCAGAAGAATTAGGTGCTAGGTAGCCAAAAGGAGAGGTAAAGCCAGACAATCTACATCCTTTGTATTTCAAGAGGATTCTTGTAACTTCTGTGTATCTGTGCACATATCTCCCCTCCCTGCGGGTGGAGATGTGGAGTTTTTCTACCTGGGAGGTATTGATTAATTCAAGTAAGTGTAAGCATTCACACAGAAGGTCTGATCTCAGCTTAAAACAGCTGTAGAACAGGAGTAAAGTTAAAGCTTAGATAGTTGCAAGGGAGATGAACAAGACCACATCAATAGAGATTTACCTTCACCAGAATACTGAGTTGTGCAGCTCCACGCTCATCTAACGGTCCCAGATTCTGACTTACCAGAGAACAAAAACTATGACAAAGGTCCAGGATTTCATTTAAACAGTGGAAAACCTGTATGGAAAAAGAAGTACAGGTTACCAGTTACATACAGAGCTCAGCCTCAGAGGAAGTTTGGTGTTTTTTTTTTTTTTTTTAGTACCTGAAAATTAAAGCATTCATAGTCAAAATGATATACTATGTTTTTCAGCAGTCACTAAGGAAGATGTTAAAGCAACTGTGGCATTTCAAAGGCCTTTTTTCTTAAGGAAAAAGCTACGTGCTTCTACCTATCCCTGAAACAACTTGGGGGAAAAAAGTGAAAGCACGACCTACTTACAGGTTTTAGGAGGATGAAAGACTGAGCCAGCAGATTACTTAAGAAATGATCATGAGCCAGTCGTATGCTCTCAAAATCTCGTGTGGCATTTATTTGCTGGAGAAGCTGTGAGAACTGAGATTCGAGTACATCCACCTGATGAACACACAGAATCTTCATTAACAGCTTCCTTGAGGAACTGAAGTACCTCAGACCAGCTAGAATTTGTGTAAGAAATTTGCTTTCCCTATCCCTACTCTTACACTGGAGGCTGAACATCAACTTCTATCTGCCTCATTGACGGAGCTCTATGTACAACAACAGTAGAGTAATAAGGGAGAAAAGAATCAATCCCTGAATATTAACTAAGTAGACAAACAGTTGCTTTCTAACTAGTGGAAAAAGTTCTTAGGCTGCTCCAGAAGTTATACTTCCTCTTTGTTTCTATGGAAACGAAGAACACAACAGTAATCACGTTCTCAGGTACAAAGCACTAGGGCAAAGGCTACAGAGCAAGAACTCAAGCTGTCACTCTAGAAAGTCAGGCCTCCCTAGTTTCTACTGTTGTAGCTATTAACAAATTGTTTGTAGCAAAATTATGCTACTACTGTTTAGTAGTGTTTAGGTTTGAAAGTGAGAAAGTGGCTTCTTTCAATTAAAAAAAGAAATCATAACTAAAAAAAAAACACAGAAAACCATCCAAAAGAACTCCTCAAAGCAGAGCTCGCTTCAAGGGGCAAAAAACCAAGACAGGATGGTATGTTAATGATTCCGCTTCAGGGATAAGCGGGGCTCCTCACAACTCCTTAGCAGCGCTAAAGAGCCACTTGCATTTCCATTAACACGTAAAACTCTACCGATTCACACATCCATTAACCATCAATTGTAGCACTGACTCTGGGAACTCAAAAAAAGTTGCAGTTCAAAACCTCAGTGCCCCCTCCCTCCTTCTATCAGTTCTTGATTAAGCGATACAAGTTCAACTCTGTTTAATCCTGACCTGGAGATAATACTGAAGATTGTCCACAAGGAAAGCCATGTGGTCCCTCAGACGCCACTTGATGGCATCAGTTCTGTTAGACTTCAGATGTTTACGTTGCATCTGGAGAGCCCAGCAGTGTTGCAGCTCTGCCTGGACCCGTCGCACGCTGAGCAGGTATTTGAACACAACATTGTACCTATAGTCAAAAAACAACAAAGTTGTTTTAGGACAGAAGTCTTTCTTGGGCACCGGAGAACACAACAGTGCAAGACTGGAAAGAGAAATAGCAGGCAGTTGCCTGCCAACAGACAGGGTAGATGAAGTAACAGCCCATCTCAGAGTAACAGATTTCTGATTGTAGTGGTTATTAATCTAAGAAATACAAAGTAATTCTAACATTACTGGAAAAGAGCTGGCAAAGTTTTGACAGTTTTGCTGACAGATTTACCATGATCTTATTTGGAACAAGTAACCTCAACATGACTAAGTAGAAAAAGTAAGGTTCAGGGAGGAAGCTAAAGTGCTAAAGCTCTACCTTTCTCTCTAGGAATGGAAAAAAAATACTGGGTGCCTGATGTCTGGTAACTTCCAGACACAAAGGCAATACCTAGTACTTACTTCTCCAGAACAGCAGGAGTGAAGAGAATATGCAGTGGCCACTGAACTTTGTAAGAAAGGCCCAGAGCTGCCCAGCCAGATGTGGGGGCTTCACGTGGAGACAGCTCTCGGGAAGGCCCTTCACGAGTCTGAGAAGAATCTGAAAACAGATAAGGTGCTTGGTTAAGTTGTCCTCTCAGTCAAGGTAAGCCTTCCAGACAAGAACGAAAAGGGAAAGAACAGAACAGGAAGAGGAAAAGCAGGCTAAGGTATCACACAAGGCTGTTAAGGAAAACAGTATTTCTTTACTCCACAGGAGGGTAAGAGGATTTGAGAACAAGGTCATTATCAGAATCCCTCTTAAATCATTACTAAAAATGCAAATAGATACCTTTATGCTCCTTTCCATGATACTCAATGGTCAAGTGAAGCAAAGGAAGAAGGTTGTCATCATCTAACAGTACCTTATGAGCAGACTGCTGAAATGCAACATTGACATCTGACAGAGAGAGAACATTAAACATTAACAGAATACTCAAGATGCAGACAGTGCTTATTTTGCACCTGTTAATTATTCACATTGGGCCATAACGGACTAACATTATTTCCACTACTTTAACTCCACTCTGATAGGGAGAGAAGCCTGACATCTGAAAGTTACTGAAAGATTATTTTTGTTACTGAAAGTTATTTTTGCCCAATGTGTAATATACTGTAATTTAGAAGTGCTGCTCTTTCAAAACTAATGAAAACACCCAGAGGATAAGACGGGGAAATCTGCATTGGATTTAACTATTTTCCTGCCAGAGCACAGAGAGGACATTTTGTAGATGAGTAATCAGCACTCACCATGTTCTGTTACGGCTGTGGGTGGTGTTTTTAACATGTGCTGTGCAGTGTCAATGAAGGCTTGAAACAGTTCACCTCTTCCCAGAAGGTAAAAGTCTTTTATAATCTATTTAGATAAGTTTTTGTATGTAAGCATATAAAAAACTGAGCAGAAAGAGTAAGCATTCTAACTCATAACATTTATTTTTTAACTACTCGGACAACTTCTGTCATTTCAAAACACAGCTGGAAAGCTCTGAACTTCATCCAGTGGCCAGAAAGTCTACAGTGCAATGCACTGCAAGCAATACAATGAATCTCCAAGATGCAAAGCACAAAACCGCATACATCTATTTCTCTAACTCTGCCTCTGACCAAGTCATATCACTGTACTCATGCTTGAGATTTGGGAAATGAAAACAGAGTTACCTAAAAGAAGAAAGTACAAAATATAAGACAGTAAAGCATCTACTGGGAAAGGGCTGTTAAAAAAAAAACGAAACAAAGCAAACAAAAAATCCCACATCACTGATTTTAAGCTACTTTTGCAAAAACAAGTTAGCAGTAACATTACCTTCAGTTGTCCTAGTAAGTCAGATTCCTCCACCATGAGTTTCCAAAGATGCTAGTGAGAAGATAGAAAAAACAAATAAAGCGAGAAATCTCTTCTCAGACACATCTGAACTTACTGAATTTTACTGAATAACTGTCTTAAAATAACTGTATATGAAATGTATATAAAACAAAAGAGGAACATGCTAAGACGACTTCTGAGTGGGCAACCCATGCTACTAACTAGAATACTCTTGATGCATATTAGTAAGAAACAGGAACATGCATGGAGGAAAAAAAAAAAAAGCAAATTCTTATGAATTCAACCAAATCCTACTTGTCCTCACTTTTCTGTGCTCCTATGTTCTCTGGTTTTCATTTTCCCCAAATTAAAACAAAACAAAAAAAAAACAACCCACAAAGCATTTGTCTCAGCAAAAGGCCAACTGTTATACTGCAATCACAGCATAAAGGTTGGAAGTTGTAATAAGTGATACAATCAATGTTTTACAATTCCCTGCAAATTACTTGTATTAGTTGAAGTCTTTGTATCATTAGAAGTTAGAACAACATGACACTAAGCCTGATAAGAAAATGAAAGCTACCTTTTTTTTTTTTTTTTTTTTTACCTTCCTGTTTTAATTTATTGTGAACAGCTTTCCTTCTCCTGGCCATTCACAAAACTCAAAATCTCCTCAACCTGTATAGCTATCCTACCTGGGATCCTTACCTCAGCAACTGTGCTCCGTATCCAGTCAACCACAGATTCAAAGTCTACCAAACTAAAGAGTGGCTGCTGCTTGAGTCGATGTAGTTCTGCTGCAAAAGTGTCTTCCTGGTTTTTTAGGATGGAGCCTGTGCAACAATGAGAAACGTTCTGGACAATAACAAATCCTATTCAAATAAGTGCAGACCCTTTCCAGCACAGTGGGATAGAGAGGCTGCCCAGGAAGCACAATGTCATGTCAGACAAGAGGAATGTAGATCTGTGGAGGCCCTGAAGTACCAAGTACAAGGCAGTACTGCAAATACACAACAGACACTTGATGTGGCAGAGCTGCAGTATCAGACGGGGAAAAAAAAAAAAAAGGCTAAGTGGAGAGAAGAAAAGAAGGAAGGAAAAGATTTTCTATGCAAACAAAGTCCTTCTTCCTGCGACTAAGCTGGATCTATGAACCCTGAACTTTTCTGCTGCATTACCCAGTCGGTTGGACTCTCCACATGCTCTGTCCCTCTCAGTTGTATCCCACTGCTTGGGCTTGGGAATTTGTTATTTTTGAAACCACCCCTCACCTCTACAAACAGAACAAAGTAATCCAATTCAATTGGCTCTTTGTTATCTGCACTGGCATTAGTCAGTTAAATATTTTTTACACACATGCGCGCTCACAGCAAGATGTGCTCCTGTAATTGTTTGAACCCTTCAGGCACAGAAATTCAAAAGGCAACATGACCTTTACAGAGGCTTTATTTCTCCAGAGTACGTGAGATAATAACTTACAACTTAGTATTTTTTATTTTTATTATTACTTATAACTAAGTACTTTTTACTCATGCTGAACTTACATCCTTCCCTAGCACTCAATCACAAGCAGAGCACTTGGACCACTGTTCTGATCTGGCACAGCCATGTGTATTTTCTGAAGCTGATCATTTTAACAGTGACTGATAAATAATTCATTCATACAGTATTTCGGAAGATACTTGTCAGTCTGTCACAGCTGAGTGAAGGCCATAAGATGCTCCTTACCTTTTCTGGTCAGGTTAACATTTTGATTCTCAAACATTTGTACAGATTCTCCCACAAACAAGATTTTTTCAGCAACTCGCACAGGAATGTAGGATGGCAGCATCTCCACTCGCAGAGAAAACTGTTTCAGAGATGGAGCTAACATGTTCTCCTCCTCAATCAAGCGCTGTCAGACACCAGAGACAAGACAGAAAGCACAAGGAGAGAAAGAGGTTGAGAAAACCAGGCTTATATAGGAAAAGCAGTAAGTATCAGAGTATGCTAAAAGTAACTGGTTTTCTGTGGCCTTTTAAAGCTTTAACTTGTTTTTGCCTTTGTACAATCTTCTCTCAGCAAAGATTGTTTATAGAAGGCACTTAATTTTATGCAATGTGAGGTCAGGTCTCGAGAATGATTGGTCATTTGTATCATTTGCACTGAAGCAGAAGACAGTACTTCCTCTTCAGCCACCTGATGACTAAAGGTGCCAAGCTACAACTTGCAGTTTTACCAGGTCCTGCAGCTCTCGTAGCTGTTTTCCTGTCAGTCCTCCAATTCCTAAGTCATCATCATCATCTTCAGGTTGGCCAGAGATATTCCCAGAAGGGCCCTGTTTGATAAAGAACTCTTCATGTTGGTCTAGTAGCAATCCATGCAGCATCCAGGCAGAGAGCTGCTTATACATGACTCCATGACACACAGCCAGAATCCTGAAATCAAAAGAAACAGACAGTGGGTCCACTGCACACAGTAATCAAAACCTTATTGTACATTATTCTGGAAAGTCCTGTTGATCAGCCAGGCAATTTGGTGCATACTTTCTTCCCAAGGGCACACAGACATAACATTCACCCAGTGAAATTTATTTTTCTAAAGGATGAACACAATGTCTGCTGTATCCAAGACATTTTGTGTAGACTTACAAATATGTAGAAAGCCTTAATTCCTGCCATGAATCTGTTTTAGATAAATAAAGGATACTGTGACAGTTTGTCCTTTTAAATCATACAGGCCCGATTTGAGCAGCATCATCTGCTTTCACAAGTAAGAAAACACTTTGATACTAACGTCAGGTATTATGTACAAACAAAATAGTTTTGTTGCATCTACCTACTTTTCAAGAGCACTGCGAACAGGAGGCAACCCCCCACAGCTATGTTTGTGGACAGTTTCCAGTATCTGACATCCATGAATCTACAAAAAGAAACAAGTGGTTGGAGTAGGACTATTACTTGGATCTGTACTGACCATTTCAAACATTTAAACGCTACATTTCCAGCTAACATGAAGAACTGCACAGGTCTGACAGAAAGACAGATTAAACATACTCTGTGTAGTGGAGAAAAAGTCTTCTATGTAAGCTTCTCTCAGAAGCTTCCCTAGATGAAAACTAAGCCTCTCAAGACTTTGAAAACATTAGCTACTCCTTTTTTTAATTCAAGTGAGCATGGAAGAAAACAAAATCAGAAAAGAAGAAATTCCAACTAGCAGCATCTTGTAGTTTGAAGTGTGTTGTGATTATAAAATGCATCTTGCTAATAATGAATGAGGAAAAAGTCAAATCCAGTGTAAAGAGATTTGTAAAGCATTCAATACTTACAATAACTGAAACCAGATTCTTTCCTAGCATTCAGTTCTGGGATGAAAGCAGGAAATACTTTATCAGCTAAAGAGGAAACTTGCTAAGAGAGACTAGCTAAAATTTTGCCATACCTTCTGAGTCTTGATCTGTTCCACCACAACCATCACGGATGGGAAGAGTAACTGAAACTGAAGCACAAGAAGGAGAAAAGTTATACTTAGGTAAGCGTGGACAACAGGCAATTACAGCAGCTCAAGCAAACTGTTAGCATGCTTTCCACTCAAATTGGGAACTATTGTCAGTGACCCTAAAATCACTGGAAACAATGTCCATCTTCACTTGGACCAAGGGTCATTAGGCCACTGTATTCCAGCTGCAGTTCAGAATAAACAGAAGTTGTGAGGAATATGCCAGGGTAAAGGAGCTGTGCATTGCGTCAAAGTGCAAGTGAACCTCTAACTATGATTACAGGACTATAAATTTGGAGCTGTTAAGGAGAAATGACGTAGGATGAAAGACTAAATCTTGTTTACACCACTCACACTCTCATTAGACATGTTACAGAATGACAAGAATAATCATTAGCATGAACAGGTTCATCAGCATTACCTGGTCCAAGGAATAATTAACGTGCGAGATGGAAAGATGTGGGTCAGCCAGAAACTGTAAGAACAACAGAACAATTAATGAAAATTAAAATGTGGCATGGATAAGTAAAAAGGCAAGTCTGGCTCTATGCTCCGTATCATGTTATGTCCCATGTAGGCTGTAACTTTTAATGAAACCACTGGATGACGACAGTACCTAAGACAGAACAGCTGCTAAGCCCCAGAAGATTTTATCAGAACCTTCACAACTGAAAACAGAAGTCACGATAGTATGAAACAGCATCAGGTTCCAAAGCTGATGGGGCATTTATTGAATTGTATGTGGAAGGGAATGACAGCTTATTAAAATTAACAGTCATTTATAATAGCATCTCACAGGAGTAATTTGAAAGCCATTCCCAAAGCGAAAAGAAAACTATCTTGTTGTCTCTTTAGCTACTATCACTTAGTCAATACAGTAATGGCAAAAATGACAAGCTTCCACAACGTGCCAGCAGCAAATAGCCTCTTGCCCCAGGTCCCTCTCCTTTACCTCTTGTTCCAGGTCAAGCAGTGCCTGTCGATACGGCTGCAACACTGAATCAAGACCTGTACAGAATGCTCGCAAATAAATGCCATGCAATCCACTCTGGTTTTGCTGAGATAGGTGATGGTCCTGAAACAGAACAATAAAATCCTCAGGTCCTCAGCACAGGTCTGACGAGTAATGGAACCTCCTGCAACATTGCACCAGCAGCCAGTGGTCACAACACTCTGAAGTGCACCTTCAACAACCATAAAACGTCCAGGAAAAAACAAAACATAACAAAACAAACAGAGCTGTTCAGCCCTTCTGTGGACGCATGCGGGAGTTGGGAATGGTGCACGCGCGGCAGCACTGTTAAATTCGGTGCTCGTTTGTATTTACGAATGCCTCCTGAATCCCTACGCTATTCACAACTCCTGATGAACCGCAGGGACCAGAAATTATAACGTGACGTTCCCTTCCCTAGGAATGATATTTCCGCGTTCCGTCACGTCTTCCAACACAAGCAGTCGTGCACCCGCTCGCATTTACACCACGCAGAACCATACAGAGCCCTGCTCGGGACGGTCAGTTTGTCTGCGCGGGCGCAGAGCCGCACCGACGGCTCTGTGACAGAAGCGGCAGAGCAGATCATCGTCCACGCTGCGCCGCTGCAGCCTCACCTGCTGCTGCACGTGTCCCGTGTACTGCTCCACGAACTCGGCGAAGCGGATGTAGTCGGTACCGAGGCGGCAGAGGCGGTTCAGAACGTTGGTCTCGCTAGGGTGTAAGAACGGCAATTCCTGGGACACCTACGGGAAAAGAGAGCGGTGAAGGAGAAGAGAAACGAAACGGGAGAACAGGGGGAGGGGCCGGGCCGTACCTGCAGCCCACCGCGCTTGCTCCAGGTAAAGGCCGCGCCCGGGTAACCGCTGAGCGCCAGCAGCAGCTCGTGGATCATCTCGCCGCCGGGCGCCGCGCCGCGCGAGGGCCGCTGGGAAGGGCGCGTCTGCGCGGTGGCCCGCAGGCAGTGTGGGCGGTGCTTCGGTCCGCGGGGATCAGGGCGGTGGCTGCCGCTGCGGGGGCGCCGGGCGCGGGGAGGGACGGGGCTGCGGGAGGACGGGGTGCGGAGTTACCGGAAGAGCCCTCGGAGCGGCTGGCCGGCCCTCGAGTCGGATGGTAGCGGTTGCCTGGACCCGGCCCGATTCCATCGTGCCCTGCCGGTGCTTTTGTTTGTATGACCATGAATCGCGTATTTAATCTGGCGGAGAAATCTGGAATCTAAACGTATCGGTCTTCTGTAGCCAGAAATGAAGCTTGTGGTAGCGTTCCCTCACAAATACAGTGAGGATCCCAAGTGCCTTCCTTGTGAGCAGGGCAGGGGCGAACAGGATGTGAAGGCTGTAGGGCAGAAGGAACGGCTGTTGGTCGGAGCTGGGGGTGGGAGGAGGCCGATCTTTGGGAAATTAAAGTCAGTGAATTGTTGGCAGTGAATCAAAGCCATTTAAATAGAGATGTGGTGTTGGGATTCCTTCCTTATTGCTGAGTGTTGCTATCTGATGGATGGTATTAGGTAAGTCACTGTTTTTCTAAAGATGCATTTTTTTGCTGCACAGCTCAGAAAAATAATCTTTCTTATAAAAGAATTGGCAAATAAACGTCTTCAAAAGAACATAACTGCAGTTTAAGTAAAGGCCTGAATTTTGGAGCTCTTTTTTTTTTCCCATCGCAGCTGTGGTAATTAAGGCCAAGCGCCAACTACTTTTTTTTTTTTTCCTTTTATGAATCAAGTTGAAAGCTGAAATTCTGAAATGTACTTTGTGAGGCTACGTAACTGATCAGCACTTTAAAAAACAACAAAAAACAGGCAGCAGAAGCAAAAGATTAAACACATACCCTAATGAACTTTAGTCAGTGGTGACAGCAAAGACCAGAAATTGTAAATGTAACCACTGAAGTACAACCTTGAAGAGTTTCGTCCAGAAACTGCAATTATGTGAAATAATAAGCCTGGCAGAAGAGGGTAAGTGTGAGATATTTTTGTTTGAGGAAGGATTGTAGGCCTGTACAAACAATATTACAGAATTTCTAGGGGAACATAATTAGTTCTGCATGCCGTAGTCTATATGCAAATGGTGCTTAAAATGTCTTCTCATCACATAACTGCAAGCTACTCACATCTACAGTAACATAAATGTTACTAGAGCTATAACTGTTTGTAATTAAAATGTCAGTTTTGACAGAGTGTTTGGGTGTTGAAGTCTTCCAAAATTGTTGTCAGAATCTATTTTCAATAATAAAGTCTATTGGTTATATTAATTTTTCTCTTTTAACGTGACATAATAGGAACATTTGTTTTTCTTCAGGGTTGTTATGTGCATGCTTAATAAAAGCAGGTTAATTGAATCAAAGTGCAGACCCTGTGTGTGCTACTGCTCAGCTGAGAGCACCAGGCAGCAGAGAATACAAACAAGGAAAAGGGTCCCTTCTCGCTCAGTGGTGTGACCCCACCTGAGCATTCAGCTGCTTTTGATCAACATCTGAATCTACGTGATTCCTTTTTGAGTCGTTCTTTTGGGCCGCTAAATTATGCTTCCTTCTATCTGGTTTAAAACTGTTTGCTTAATTTTTCTGTTTGCTTAAATTTTGACTACCTATTCTATATTTTACGAGTAGAAATGAGTAAATCATTTCTTCAGTCTCATTTTTTCCCTCCCCTTTTTTCTCCTCCTGGGTACGCTTTTGTCAACCGTCGTAATTTAAGTAGTTCCTCTTCACGTGAAAATCATTCTGTAGTTCTGATCAGTGTTGCTGCGTTTGTTTGTACTTTTAAATATATATATATATTTTTTTTTTTTAAAGGAGAAATGCACACAGATATGTGCATTAGCAAGATGCACAGTGATCTTTTCATCTGGTTTGTAAAGCTGGTCTTAATAATGGTACTGGTAATAATGGTAATTATTAAATGGTAACTGGTAATAGTGATACGTTTCCATCTTTCAATCTTTTGGTGTTGAGCCTATATATTCTTAAAGCCTTATTTGCATATGACTTCGTATTATCCCAGCTTTCCTTTCCTCTGAATAATGGACAGCCGGTAGTGCGTTCTGTGTTAACTGTAGAACTTGGGACGCTCTTAAGGTTTGGGTGCACAGCAGAGGCAGAACGTTGGACGGTGACATCGTTGCCCAGCGATACGTGCGGGGCGGGCGGGGCAGAGCAGAGGCGGCTTCCCAACCGAACTCGGGCGGATGGAGCCGGCAACGGAACGAGCGGCGCGGCTCCTCCTCCGCCACACCCGGCACTGCAGGAAGAGGAACAGCCTCGCCCAGCTCCCGGCCGGCCCCGGACCAGCACAGCGCTATGGCGGCGGAGGAGGTGGACGGCTTGGGCGTGTCCCGGCCGCACTACGGCTGTGAGTACCGGGGGGCCCGGGCTCGGCTCTGGGAATCGGCGGCGCCGCCGCTAGGACACATCCCGACCGGCGACGCCCAGCCCGGCTTGCGCGGTCCGTCCCTTCCCGGGACCGCCACTGGGCGCGGAGGCTCCGGCGGGGGGAGCGGGGAGCCTCGTTCCCTGGGGCAGCGCGGCGCGACGAGCCTCCCGCGGGGCGGGTGCCGTGGGTCGCGCGAACTCGCCCGAGCTCGATGGGTCTCTCGCGGGCGGTAGAGAAGAGCAGCGGGAGAAGGCGGAGGACGGGCGGGCCGTCGCTGGCCGCCTGCGTGAGGCTCGCTCGCGTGTGTCGTGGGCGCGCTGCGCGCCTCGCCCAACATGTCCGCCGCGGGGAGGGGATGCGGCGGGGCGGGGGCTGCGCTGATGGAGCGATCTCGGCAGAAGGGCGCGGCGGGCCGCTGCCGTGGCGGGCCGACCGCTGCCTGTTTCGGCAGCGGTCCTTCGCCTACCATCCGAATTGATCTGATGCGTCCAGGTAGAACGCCTTCGTCTCCTCGAAAATGGAGGAGCTTGCTCTGGAGAGGGGGCTTCGATTCGATGTTTCTGTGGTGTGTGGTCGCTTGTGCAAGACGTCACGTCAAAAGCGAGCAAAGATGGAGCAGGCGCCGTGCGGCGGATGGGAGATGGCGAAAGCGGCGGTCGGGGCGCGGCCGCAGGTGGGGTCTGCGGGAGGGGCGGGGGCGGCAGCGCTGCTCCTCGCTCGGGGGCGGTACCGCGTGGCGTGAGGCCGTTGTCAGCTCTTGTAACTTTGGGAAAGGCTGAAGTAATGGGAAGAATGTGTGCGGGTACCTCAGACGGCTTTCTGAGACGTCCTGGCGGTTCTTACCAAGGCTTTGCTTGATCTCAAATGCTGTGGTTGGTATCTGATCCACTGTTTTTGTTTGGTGGAGGTATTTCAGGTGTAAGCTAACCTTTGACTAACTACGATACAAGGTGTTTCCCATTTGTCACGTTCATCCATTAAACTTTAAAAAAAAAAAAAAAGTGGCTTTTTCAACATGAGAGCATGGCAGAGGTACTTAGCAGTAAGTGGAAGATTTAGGCATATAACTGTAGGATTTTGATCCAAAGATGATACGATACGCAGGTTGTGGATCTAAATTATCCTCCAGGTGATGGCTGAGAGGAGCATTTCTGTTATTTTAGGGATGAAATACAACAGTATAGAAGGAATTACATGGTGTAAAAATATGCAGCTGTCCTTTAATCTTTGACTGCCAAAATCAGTATGCAGGTGGAGAGAGATGTGTCACTGATGTGCTTCTGAGAAAGAGAAAGGCAAAGCTAGAATGAAATGGTTTCAGAGAAATTGGCAGATGAGGAAAAGTTGAATCAAAGTCAGATTGAGAAATCAGGGAAGATGGAGAACTTATGCAATGAGGGTGGAAGGATAAGGAAACCATGTCTCTTGTTATTTGCAAAGCACACGTGTATTTGTTTCTTCATTTTTCTAAGACAAATAATGCCTGGGATGAGTTCTTGTGAGGAAGGTAGGATATGATTTGTGATGTTGTATGGGAACTGCTGAGTCACAGCTGACCCATGATTGAGCACCTGGGGAAAGGAGCGGTCAGCCCTGGGAGCACAGGTGAAGGCAATTCAGCTGTAGGACAGGAAGGGGTGCAGCCTGACTGCCACCTCTCTTAGAGCTCATTTAAGGGCTGGCTGCTGCTGTGGAAGGATCTCTTTCTGGAGATCCCTCCTTGGTGAAGCTTTTCCCTGTGAACCTGGAATCTTCTGATGCGGGTGAGCAATCTTCTTCCCTTCCTTTATGGCACCATAGAATTGTGCCAGTACTTCCATCATCCCACCTTTGTTGTGATGCCTTTTCCACTGTGTTGATCTGTCCGGTTGCTGCAGATGTTCAGTCTTTTTCTGTCTGAGAGTATTTATTTGACTACTTGCAGCTGTCTTGGATAATGAAAGGTTAACAGCAGAGGAAATGGACGAAAGACGGCGCCAGAATGTAGCCTATGAATACCTTTGTCATCTGGAGGAAGCAAAGAGGTAAGAATAAGGGGGTTTCAAATGCCTGGAACTTTTAAAGTCATGATATTTTGTAAGGGGAGTAATTTGGATGCAGCTTACCTCCTATGTGTTTCTACATTCGTTGTGTTTTTAAAAAACAAAACAAAACCCAAAAACTGAACTCTGTGATCCTCCAGACTGTTTTTCTGCCAAAAAATAAAAATAAAAATAAAAAAAATCTATGCCTAGTAGAAGTTCTTGTTATGCTTATCTTACATGCTCTTAAATATTTTTTTTTATTTATTCGTTTAATTACTTGTGATAAGGACTTCACTGCTATAGTGTTTTGGTATTCTCAGTGCTGAAAGGTTCCTACTATTACCTAACTTGTATTTGCCTTGGTGTAGTATTACCTTACTACCTGCTTATGGATATGAAGAACAGATTATTCTCTTTCACTTATCTGCAGCCTTTTACACATTTTTATTTGTAACCTGACTTTTCTTCTCTTATTCTTCTCTTAAACTGGAAACCCAATACTTTCATATTTCTCCTTGGGTCCTGTTTAATAGACCTGTGGTCCTTTTTCCATGGATTTTTCTGACTTCTCTCAACTCCGTGTCGTTTTGGAAGTGCAGTGCCAAAACAGAAGCTTTCAAACTGAGGCATTGATGCTCACGCTTACAAGAGCCCAATTATTGCGTTGTGGACTCTGATAGAAGTGCTGACATCGTACATTCCAACATGGTATCTACATTTTTGTAATGATGTCAAGTGGTAGAGTTGTGCTGAGTTGCCATCTATCACGGAGTTGGCCAGATCAATCTACGTCCGTGACAGGGGCACCAGGCCTCTGCCCTCCCCCGCACCCCAGTCCCACAGAAATGGGAAGGAAGGAAGGGAGGAAAAGAACAGCAGCAACAATCTATGGAGGAAAAATTATTTTACTATAATATCGAAATACAAGATAACACAATAGATACAATTTAATTGAAATTGAGATTAATAAATCAGACAAGATGAGAGAGAGTTCCCGGGACCGAGTCAAACCTGGCGAAGGCTGCCCAGAGAGTTTGTGATTGCCCCGTCCTCAGAGGTGTTCAAGACCAGGTTGAATGGGTCCCTGGGCAGCCTGGTTAAGTGGATGGCAATCCCGCCCAGGCAGGGGTTTGGAACTGTGGGGGTTTTAAGGTCCTTCCAACACTAACTGTTAAGAGGAACTATAATAGCACCATTAACAGGAGGAAATAAGATATGATAAAGTCTGTTGTTATGAGGAAAGTCAAAGCTCTGTTATTGAAAGTCAGACCACAAAAGTGTGTGTGCCTTTTCTGCTTTTGTAGTAAGGTAGGGTAAAATATGTAGGCCAGGAGCGTAGACTTCATGACAAAATTGTAAGAGGGTCAGCTAGAGGAGCTTGAATCAGCCATAGAGTCTTAAATAACTTCATGGGATCAGATGGGCTTCATCCTGAGATGCTGAGGGAGCTGGCAGGGGTGATTGCTGAGCAGCTCGTGCCATCTACCACTGCTCCTGATTATCTGGAGAGGTCCCAGAGGACTGGAGGCTTGCTGATGTGACTCCTATCTATACGAACAGCCTTAAGGAGGACTCGGGGATCTTACAGGCCTGTCAGCCTGACTTCAGTACCAGGGAAACTTATGGAGCAGATCATCTTGGGGGAGATGATGCGGCACGTGCATGGCGCCCAGGCAATCAGGCCTAGCCAGCACAGGCTTGTGAAAGGCAGGTTGTGCTTGATCAACCTCATCTCCTACGACTGGATGACCAGCCTGATAGATGAGGGTAAGGCTGTTGATGTAGTCTATCTAGACTTCAGCAAAGCCTTTGACATAGTCTCTCATAGTATTCTCCTGGGGAAACTGGCTGCCTGTGGCCTGGGCAGGTATACTCTTCTTTGGGTAAGCGACTGGCTAGAGGGCCGTGCCCAGTAGGTAGTGGTTAATGGAGCTAAGTCCAGCTGGCGACCTGTTATGAGTGGTGTCCCCCAGGGGTCGGTACTGGGGCCCATCCTGTTTAATATCTTTATTGATGATCTGGATGAAGGGATTGAGTGCGCCCTCAGTAAGTTTGCAGATGACACCAAGCTGGGAGGTGGTATTGATCTGCCTGAGGGTAGGGCGGCCCTTCAGAGGGATTTAGACAGGCTGGATCACTGGGCTGAGGTGAATGGGATGAGGTTCAACAAGGCCGAATGCCGGGTCCTGCACTTTGGGCACAACAACCCCCTGCAGCGTTATAGGACTGGGGATGAGCGGCTGGACGAGTGTGAGAAGGAAAGGGACCTGGGGGTGTTGGTTGATGCTCAGCTGAAAATGAGCCCACAGTGTGCCCAGGTGGCCAAGAGGGCCGACGGCATCCTGGCCTGCATTAGAAATGGTGTGGCCAGCAGGAGCAGGGAGGTGAGCATCCCCTGTACTCAGCACTGGTGAGGCCGCACCTCGAGTACTGTGTTGAGTTTTGGGCCCTTCACTACAAAAAAGAAAATGCCCTGGAGTGTGTCCAGAGCAGAGTAGCGAAGATGATGAGGGGTCTGGAGCACAAGTCTTATGAGGAATGGCTGAGGGAGCTGGGATTGTTTAGTTTGGAGAAGAGGATGCTCAGGGGAGACCTCGTTGCACTGTACAATTTCTTGAAGGAAGGTTGTGATGAGGAGGGATTTGTCCTCTTCTTCCAGGCAACAAACAGGACCTGAGGAAATGGCTCAAAGTTGTACCAGCGGAGGTTTAGGTTAGACATAAGGAAGAACTTTTTCTCTTAGTGGTCAGGCACTGGAATGGCTGCACAGGGAGGTGGTGGAGTCGCCGTCCCTGGCAGTGGTCAAGAGGCGCCTGGATGAGGAGCTGCGAGATCTGGTTTAGTGCTTGTGGTAGCAATGGTAATGGGAGGATGATGATCTTGCAGGTTGTTTCCAAACGTATGATTCTATGAACTACCAAACCTTTTGTTAAAATTGAATAAAAAGATACTTGTTAGGTGAGCCTATGTTTGAGAAGAAAATTTAAGTGAGTTACAAAGACAGGTTGGCTACTGTATGTAGACCAGCAGCAGCTAAATCGTGGGCTGGAGGAAGAATATGATGGGGAGATGGTATCTTAACTTCTGAAGCACTGACTGCTGGGCTCTGCGCTTAACATTTTTTATGGAGCATTACTGTTATCTTAGTGACTCGGATTGTCTGATAGTGCTGTACCGATGTTCAGCCTCTAATGCTAAATAAATACTGTGCTGGAGAGTGATTTAGTAGTAGTAGCATGGAACTTAGCATGGAGTTATGTTTACAAATTGGAATTGTACTTTGTTCTTCTTGCACTTCCAGGTGGATGGAGGCCTGTCTGAATGAGGAGCTTCCTCCCACAACAGAACTGGAAGAAGGATTGAGAAATGGTGTCTACTTGGCCAAACTTGGAAACTTTTTCTCCCCCAAGGTGGTTTCTGTGAAGAAAATCTACGATAGGGAGCAGACTAGATACAAGGTGAGAGCTGCTGGCTGTGGATATTGGCTTAGGTAGACCTCAAATAGGAAAATGTGCAGATAGAGGTGTGGCCTGAATAAACAGAAAGTTCTTTTATATTAATATTAACTGAGAAGCGGGTCCAAAGAAGGGCCACGAAGATGAGTGAAGGGCTGCAGCACCTCCTCTGTGAGGACAGGCTGTAAGAACAGGGGCTCTTTAGCCTGGAGAAGATTCCGGGAGACCTTATAGCAGCATTCCAGTACCTGAAAGGGGCCTGCAGGAAAGAGGGACTCTTTATTAGGTCATGTAATGACAGGATGAGGGGCAATGGCTTTAAACTGGAAGAGGGTAGATTTAGGTTAGGTATCAACAAGAAATTCTTTACTGTGAGGATGGTGAGACCCTGGAATAGGTTGCCCAGTGAGGCTGTGGGTGCTCTCTTCCTGGGAGCATTCAGGGCCAGGCTGGATGGGGCTGTGAGCAACCTGGTCTGGAGAGAGATGTCCCTGCCTATCGCAGGGGGTTTGGAACTAGGTGATCTTAAAGGTCCCTTCCTAATCAAACCACTCTGTGATTCTATGCGAAACATCTTTGTTTGAGAATATCGGGTAAGTGAGGGCTGTGGACTCTTTATGTCTGATCTTACAGCTGTGAAAGAACTTGTGGTGTTATAAATAAGCATTGTAATTGTATATATAGAAGAGTTCTGACACGTTTTTTTTTTCTTTGGGTGTACTGTTTTTTTTTCACTGTATTATCAGCTGTGATATTTTGCATGTCCTCTTCTTTCTGCCTATTTTTGTTTCAGGCAACTGGTCTCCACTTCCGGCACACTGATAATGTAATTCAGTGGCTAAATGCCATGGCTGAGATTGGCCTTCCTAAGGTAATTTCTGTGTTGTATGTGCAGACTGGTATGTAATCTCAAAAATAACTGTATGTTCTGTGGGAGTATTTCCTGTTGCACTAAAACCAGCAGAGTTCATGTGGCTTTTTCATTCTTTGGATTTGCATTTGTATAGATTTTCTATCTAAGAACTTGATGAAATCTTCCATCCTGCCTTGAGTGAGAATGATTGGGAGCATAATAGCTACTTCTTCTCTTCCATGCTACAAACCTTGCATACTGTGTACAAGTATGTTGTTTGTACTCTGCATTCTATTGCACAGTATCTGAGCTGCAGTTAGATTGTGGCAGTTTTTCTGAAATCTATATTAAAAGAAGCAGTGCAACAGAAAACTGTTAGCTCGCAATTTGTTCAGATTAACTTAAAAGCTTCGTTGGCAAATTTGAAATAGGCTTCAGGTATGGCTTAAATATAAATTATTGGCCCTATATCTCAGAGGAGTTTAATAAACACGGTTGCCTGAAAATACATGGGCCTTGGTAGTGTTATGTGGGCACATGAAGGAAGGGGAATGCACTTTCATGCATGTAGAACTTGGGCAGGAAAGTAGGAGCTTTGGTTTGGATGAAAGATTTAAAAAAAAAAAAAAGTGTGAATTTACGCAGGAGATGTGCTAGGCTTAGAGAAGCATGAAAAGTTTTGGTTTTATAGATTGTTTAATTAGTGTACTGCAGAAAATTTGGTCTTAGCACAGTTAGGACATCTGATTATGTAGTGGATGTATTGTTCAGCTTGCTAATTTTGTTTTATCTTCAGATATTCTACCCAGAAACTACTGATATCTACGATCGCAAGAACATGCCGCGCTGTATCTACTGTATTCATGCACTCAGGTAAGGCATGCGAGGCAGAAATCTCCAGTTCCTTCTGAAATCTGCCTGGAAAGCTGAACGGTGAGGGAAAGAAGGCTGGGCTGAAGGGTGAATGGGGACTAGCAGAGCTGTTGTAGATCTTCGCTCCAATCTTAACATAGGACGGCTTAGGTTTGAAGAGACCTTAAATATCATCTAGTTCCAATCCTGCCACGGGCTGGTTGCCCCCCCACTGTATAAGACTGCCCAGGGCCCCATCTGACTTGGCCTTGAATGCCTTCAGGGATGGGCATCCACAACGTTCTCCAGCCAACCTTTTCTAGCATCTCACCACCCTATGATAAAGAATTTCTTCCTATTATCTAGTGTTTGTTTTTTATGTCACAGAAAGATAGAATCTTTTGAGTTGGAAGGGCCCCTTGAAGTCTTACTAGTCCAATTCTCCTGCAGGAGAACAGGGATGACTACAGCTAAATCAGGTTGCTCTGAGCCTGGTGTGAACATCTCCAAGGACAGAGCTTCCAGCATCTCTCAGGGCAACCTGTTCCAGTGCCTCAGCACCCTTACTGTAAAAAGAAAAAACCAAACAAGTCCCACCATGCCTTTTCCTTATATCTCACCTAAGTCTACCTTCTTTAAGTTTGAAATCATTTCCCCTTCTCCTACCACAACAGATCCTGCTAAAGAGTCTAGCCCTTTCCTCCTTACAGCCTCCCTTTAAATACTGAAATATAAATGCAGGAAATTTAGATATTGCGTGTTGAGGTAATGTAGAAATGTGAAATTGTCTGTTGTTTATTTTCCATGCAGTTAAAATGGAGTTCCATCTGAGGCACAGGTTTTTGGTTTTTTTTTTTTTTTTTAGTAATTTATTTTTAATGATCAGATACTTTACTAGAGGGTACAGGTCCATGAGCTGTGCTGAGCCATCTTGACAGACAAGTAGAGAACTTGCTTCTCTTTCCCCAGTCCCAGTTGTCTTAGCTTTGTATCAGTTCCATTTTCCACCAAGCTTCTTTGTTAATCAGATTAATTCACTGAAATTACAGCGGGGAAAAAAATGACCAAGTGAATGTGCTTACATCATATTAGTAAGTGACATCACCTTATGAGCAAGTCAAGTGCAGCTGAGGAGGGAAGGAGACAGGAGGATCAGCTTGTACCTTATTGGTAGTTGTGAGCTGTTAAATGGGTTGGTATGCTGGAATGGTTCCTTTGATATTTTTCTCTCTTAAATTGTGATATCTTAAAATTAACCATGAAGAAAAATTAGTCTTTCTCATTGCTTATTTTCTTTTATAGCCTGTACCTGTTCAAATTGGGTCTTGCCCCCCAAATTCAGGATTTATATGGGAAGGTGGACTTCACAGGTAAAAAAATAAAAATAAAAAAATGAAGTTTGTACCAGTATGCACTGCCTTTATTTCAGCTGTAGGGGATATTGTCTAGATCAATGAAAGGATTGTTAATGTTGGTTTTTCCCAAATGCAAATTAAATTAGATACTAATGGTTGTGAAGAGTTCCAGAAGTTAAAGTGGAAGGTTTGTTTTGGGTGCTTATTAGCCAGGTTGTTAAATAGTCATTGGTTCGCTACCGTTATCTTCACAAATAACAGCCCCTTAGTTTTTCACTTCTGTTGAAAGATGTTTTGGTGTCACCTTTATCCCTTGGGAGAGGTTTCACTTCAGTGCTTGGTAAGCAGTTCTGGTCTCCTTTAAGAGTTTAAAGCAGAGCTGTGTTTGCCCACACAGATGCCTCCTCAAGGTTTCAGTTGCTTGATTGTTGCAGAAGTGCCTGATTTGTGTGTTTCGTGTTGGAGAGATTACTATCTGAAGACATACCTGATTTAAAAGCTTTGTTTTCCTGCACAGCATTTACTAATTGTACCTACGAAAGGCTAAACTTAAATGGCGCTGCTTTTGGGTTATTTGGGGTTTATCAGCAGCATGTCTCCATATTCTTCATCCTCTTTTCTGCAGGAGAAAAAAAAACAAACATACATTGTTTGGGCATTTTCCTGACCTGTTTGCCACCATCTTTGAAGCACCTCATAATAATGGAGTGTGTTTCTAGATTTTTGAGTTACGTGATGTTTTCTCATGGGAAAGAATGCAGAATACTTACGTATGAGTTTCTGGGATAAGTACAAATTTTAGGAAGGAGTGCAAAATGACAGCAGTTTCTGTTTATTTTGCTTACTTTTACAGAGTTGTACTCAAAGTATAAATGAAACAATGGTATTTACTGTAGTTACTCCAGCCTTTCCTGTAGCCACAGCTAATATTGTGGAACTGGTTCCTAGTGTATTATAGATTGTGCAACGCTTTTTTTTTTAATATATGTTTCAGAGGAAGAAATCAGTAATATGAGGCTTGAACTGGAGAAGTACGGCATACAGATGCCTGCCTTCAGCAAGATTGGAGGAATTCTAGCAAATGAGCTCTCTGTGGATGAAGCAGCATGTAGGTTTCATTTTCATGTGATTATTCAGACCAAAATATTGTATACTAAGTGTCTGTTTTTATGTCCCTCGCTGTAAGAAAATACAAACCTTCTGGAAGACGAAAGAGGATTGATGTGCACCCGCCCCACTGATTAGGTTAGCTGACATATACTACTGGGAAGTAGGCCACATTTTTTGTCAGGAGCACCAAACCCTGCTGCTTTTGCTTTCTAGTTAACTTTCAGATAATTTTTCACTTTTCAGTCAAGTTCTCAATGTGTAACAGGACTGTTAGGTTTGTGAGTGACTAACGGGCTTCTTTTTCAGTACATGCTGCTGTCATTGCCATTAATGAGGCAATTGACCACCAGGTTCCAGCTGACACTCTTGTGGCAATGAAGAACCCTAATGCCATGCTAATCAATCTTGATGATCACTTGGAATCTACTTACCAAGACACTCTCTACAGAGCAAAAAAAGACAAGATGGAGAATGCTAAAAACAGGGTAAGTAAATGTTTTTAAACTAGGTATTTGTTCGTATTGCAATTTTATGTTGTAGTTTTAGGGGAATGCTGAGTGAATGTATTACAGTCCTGTGAGAGTAGTATTAGGGGGATTTATTCCTGCTGATATTCTAATATTGGTCCCCGTAATCTGTTTTCCTATTGTAGAAGACAGGCAGCAGCACTTGCATTACTGTATTCAGCTCTCTGAATTATGGGTTGCATATGTACATGCAGCATTCATATCATCCTTTATACTTCGGGAATTTTCAATATTGATATATTTTTACAACAATGAAATGGTCAGAATAACCAACTGACCCTCAGAAAGATTCCAGGTAATTTTAGAATACTGTATAACAAATACTCTACATATATTGTTGGCTTTCCACGTTCTGAAGCTCTGTGTGTTTATATAGAGCCTGTAAACTGGATTAAGGTGTTTCTGTACTGTTTGAATTGGAGTTTGTGTAGTTCTAGGACTTTTTGCATATTTAGGGCACAGGTGAACTCCCTCTCTCACAGCTCTGTATAGGTGGTGATGGTCACCAACTCTTTCCATGACAGGATCATAAAACTTTGTGAAGATGAAGGAGTTTTATTCATTTTTATTTCAGATTTCCTCAGAAAATTCAGAAAGAGAGAGAGATGTATATGAAGAACTTCTGACTCAAGCTGAGATTCAGGGAAACATCAATAAAGTGAACAGTAGGTATCGTGCTAAAATAATAGTTCTGATCAAAAGCATTGTTTAAAATGATACCTGTGCTCCTCCTTGCTTTCAGTATCAAGCAGAAAGCTTCTGGAGTGCTAACATAAATGGAAGGCAGCTGTTCTGTTGTGGGTTTTTGTTTTTTTTTTTTTGAACACGTTACCCATATGTATGTAGTTGTAAGCTGCATTTATTTTGACTTCTGCTGCCCTTCCTTAAGAGAATGGATTGTCTGTGTTGCTGCTGGAGCTGCACTGCTGTTCTCCTATCCCACTGAGTAACTCATGTTATGTCCATCCTCCAGCCTCTCGTTAAAGTAGTGCTTTGCAATTGGCTTTGGAAATCTTCCATTCAGATTACATGCCTAATTTGACAACCATTAGATCTAAGACTGCTTCTGAGCAGTAGGTTATATAGGTGATGGGACTTATTCTTTTAATGTTTCTCTGAAAATTCTGCTTTACTGTTGCTAGCATCTGCAGCCATATCCAAGATTGGCCTCGCTTTAGAACAAGGAGATGCGTTAGCTCTGTATGAAGCTTTAGCAACACCAGCCCTGGGACTCCGAGGATTGCTACGAGAAAATTGCGACTGGTATTTCAAGCAGTTTTTGAGTGATAGACAACAGAAACAGGAGGTATGCAAAAGCCTGAATCACTGTGATTGTTGATTTACATTTTTATTTATTTCCCTTTCACCATCTCATTGTCCTTTGCGTGCTAATTGCTTGCAGTATACATGCATAACAGTTTAGTGTTGCTTTGGAAAAGCTTTATAGACATAAGCATACATTAAACATTGGTTAGTTTTCATCTCTGCATATGAAAGGCCAGTATAATGCTTATACATATAGGTAGGTATATGTAATTAAAATACTTTGAGTGAACTTTAAATTATATATAGAGCTGTACAATAAAGGCACGTATTTTCTCTTATTTTACTATTTTCAGCGCTCAGACAATGTGAATATTTGTGTTTTATAAGTAACTGTTGGATAAGCACTATACTATTTTCACTGTGGAAAATCCTGTCCATAATCAAGGTTGACATTAGCTTTTCATTTCAAGCCAACTCTTCGGTAGATTTTAGGTGCAGGTTGCTTAAGTATGCTACATAAAAAATTCATGTAGTAGATTTTAAAAAACAGTGTTGTCTCAGTTATTACAATGTCATCCACAATAATGGGGGAAAATAGGGTGCTATGAAGGTGGTTACTTCTGTGTGAATTATATTTTGAAAAGGTGCACCCAAGCAGAGATGTAAGGTATTGTGTGCCTTCAGACCCAAGAAAAATGTGGACAAATTAGTTGTACAGTTCCAGCAAACTAGATCTTGGGCATTGTGGTGGATGCATATGTACATTTTGGGTGTAAAACACTGTGACTTGGTTGCATTACTGTGACTAATTGAAGTGCCTTAAGGAAAGGCTGTTTTCTTCTGTTTGTTTATTCCTTTTGCTGAGCTATTTGCACTGAATGAGCTGATGTTGTTTCACTCTCCCTGGTTTTTTTTTTCCTCAGGCTGGCATTGCAGGTCTTCTGCAGAAGGAGGATTTACAGTTGGGAGTGGATGCTGCTAACAAAGCAGCACAACAATATCAGCAAAGTAAGGAGTGGCAAAAATGATAGCGACAAAGTATCTGTGGGATGTGATCAGGAGGATGAGAAAGCACAATATTTGCGTTCACATGAGGTTATAGCAGGGCTATCTCAGACCATCATGGATGTTCTTTAAGTAGTTTGAGGCTACTGAAACATGGAAAATAATCATGACAGCTGGCTCTGTCTTCTATCAAGCTCTTAAAAATACTGCTTGAGATAACAGCAAATGAGATGAAATGCTGAGCAGCGTGGAGCTTGTGTCCACCTTAAATAATTTTCCTAGGCAGTTTGTGTTAGATTTTGTTCTATGGACTGTGACAGAAATCTGGATTGCTCCGTGAGGTGTTAAAACTAGCTTACTGTTGACTACTGACATAAGGCTTACTTGATTTGAGCTATGGAACTTTCAGCTTTTTTTTTAATGGCTGTTTCTAGGTATCAGATAGCAAATAAAATGTAGATCACAGTGGCTGGATTTTTTTTTTTTTTACTCAGGTGCTTCTGACACCATGCAAAACTCTCTTCTGGAGAAAGTTCCAGAAGCTTTCAGTGTTTAATTCTGGCTGTACAATAGCAATTAGTTCAATTTAGATCACATCAAAAGAAAGCTGATAGGGATCTGGTTACAGGTGGTTGAAATGACAAGAGGGAGATGGTGCAGGTGTAGGAACTAGGAGGTTACCTTCAGAGAACCAGTAAGGTACTTTGTACTGCTTGATGTTTATTACCCATTTGTGCTGTGTGAAAGTGAAAACACTGTAGGGTGTAGAGGACACTGTAGAATGCCTGGTACTGCCTTGACCAGTGATAGATACTGGAAAGAAAAGTTGTTATGAATTACCTATGAAAAACATTGGCAGTTCTGAGGCTTCTTATTGGCAGAAGTTGGTGAGAAAGTCCTCTGATAATCAGACAAAAGGTAAACTGGTTTAAAAATGAGTCTTACTTTAAAGAGGGCCTTGTGTAGTCTGGTAATGCAGGACTAGTTGGGTAAACAAATGATTGGAAAACCTGTAGGGGAATTAGGTTCTGTGTTTTTTAGGTTAGGGTTCTTACTATTGAATACAGTACAAGTGCTTGCATGACTGGGAGCCCAACTGTCTGCTGCCGTTGTTGTCATGCTGCCTCTTTGATGTGCTGCCTCTTCAAACTGCTAGGGCTGGCAGCAGTGACCAGAATTAATGCTGCAATTAGAATGGGTGATGCAGAGAAGACTGTGGCAGAAATGATGAACCCAGAGGCCCAGCTACCAGAGGTTTATGCATTTGCTGCTGATCTTTATCAAAAGGAGCTGGCCACCTTGCAGCAACAAAGCCATGATGTAAGTAATACATTCTTATTTCTGTAAATTGATATGGATCATCAAATCTGCCTTGTCTGTTTCACTAAATGTGCCTGTCTTGAGTGTTGGTAGAACTGCCTTTATGCTTAGTCTGTTCTGACGGGATGCTTAATCTTGAAGTTTTGAGCTACTCGGCACTGTGAGATTCTGTTTGAATCTCTTGGTGCTCTAGCAGTAGTTTTGAAGAGCAAGTGTAATTGATCTGTATTCCCCTTTGTATGCAGGGTAACCTCACCCATGCAGAATTATCTGTTGCTGTAGAGATGCTCTCTTCTGTGGCTGTGATTAATAGGGCTTTGGATTCAGGGGATGTGAGTACAGTATGGAGACAACTGAGCAATCCTGTCACAGGTCTGACAAACATTGAGGCTGAGAACTGTCAGAGGTGAGTGTTTTGAAGGTTCATGTCTGTCTTTGATATTGCTTACGTTCACGAGAGGTTCGGTTTTCTTCCCCTTATACTTCAGGTTCTTTCACTGCTTACTCCAATATTAATTTATTCTCTCTCGGTTCTTGCATCTCGTCTTTGCCTTCACCATTTCTTACTAATCTGCTCTGAGTGCCGTCTCTCAGACCTTTATCAAGGTTTCACAACAAAGCTATGTTGTGGCCCTACGAGGTTCTCAATTGCACTAGGCCAGCTCCTGCCCTGTGTTTCTTGTCTGAAAGTGTCATGTGGTGTTTTAGTGCTTTTCTTGATTGCTTTGCACTGGAGCTGACCGCCTTGCTCACGGTCTTTTGTCTTTTTCCTATTCCTTCTTTCTTTTGTATATGTCAGTTTTAACCCTTGTGTTACTTCTTCCATTTTGTGTTTAGTTCTCATTGCTGTCTTGTGTGTTCCCTGGCCAGTTTTTCATGACATGATACTTCCTGGTTTTGACTTTTGTTCTTTGACAGATATATTGATGATCTGATGAAGCTGAAAGCTCAGATGCGTGCAGAAGAAAATGACTTTATCACGTGGAATGATATCCAGTCATGTGTGGATCGTGTGAACTTAGCTGTGCATGAAGAACATGAAAGTAAGTTTTGCTTGATCAGTGCTAGACTGATCCTAGATCATAAGGTGTGCTAAAAGTAGGTGCATGCCAATGAACAATCTTGTTGCTGGATTCATATAGCCTGAGATAGTTGCCTTTTGCCACTGCTTCTTGTGTAGCTGAGTTGCCCTGGAAAGGCTATCATCTAGAGAGGCTTAAATGTTATGTCAGAGCCTGGAATCTTGACTGACTTGCTTCCTGGCTCTCCAAATAGACACGGGCTTCCTGTGTGGCTTCAGTTCCTCTGATCACGTGACCCAAACAAGTGCACGCCATGTGCATGCGTGCACCAAAGCACTGGTTTTGCAGCCTTGTATTTGTGAGGCGTCACAGCAGAAGCCTGGAAGTTCATGTAATCCTGCTCCTTGTTTCTTGTAACACTCCTATATACAACAATAGGGACAACAGAAAACCCAAACCAGCAACCATAAAATGCAGAAAATCTTATAATGACATAAGTTGACATCTTGTGACATAGTTTTGATAGGAAACTTTTGAATTCTTTCACCTGCTAGTGTTTCATAGAATGGCCTGGGTTGGGAAGGACCATAGTGATCGTCTAGTTTCAGCCCCCCTGCTGTGTGCAGGTCGCCAACCACCGGACCAAGCTGCCCAGAGCCACATCCAGCGTGGCCTCGAGTGCCTCCAGGGATGGGGCATCCACAGCCACCTTGGGCAACCTGTTCCAGTGCAACTATGTTCAGTTTCTTGTGTGCCCCTGTGCATGGATACTTCTTATCTAGTGTCTGAGGAAGTCCTGAAGCCATAGCGACATGTACCCTTCTACTGTCCTGCAACTTGGTTTCAAAGTCAAGAATGCTTTCTAATGAGGAGCTGTAACATATTGTTGTTTCACGGAGTAGTCTTTTTCTGGACCTGTTGGCTAATTAATCAAGGATAATTACTGCTTGTCCTCTGTGCCCTTTCCTGAGTCAAAAGTTGCTATGTGTGTTTTCCTTTGTTCTTCATGAGATGGAGTAGTGTCAACCGTAGTGTGTGTGTTTTTGTAAGAAAGGTCTTTCTTTTCCTACTTTCCCCCAGCACTCATGGGGAGAGCAGCATGCC